TAGATATTTTGGACGCGAATTCAATAGATATGCATACATGACTGTTACACAATCTCTGTAGTTTTGATTATAGATCTGCAAACATATTTCGCAACTATTGGCATGCATTGCAATTTTTAATTGGATATTTGCCAGGGGAAAGGAAAGGAGTCAATTGTAAAAAATGGTATTTTCTGTTTTGTTACAATTGCATAATAAACGCAGTATATTTGTGATACCACCATCATCAAAATAAACATTGATGTATATTATTAATATTACTAAAATCAATGTATAACATTTTATTTAATGAGAAATTTCACAATTATTTTACAATTAAAGCATTTTGATAAAGAATATGCATGATTCTAAAGGTAAAATGTTTTTTCTAAAATCATTTTCTTAGCCAATTTTTTATTTTAACCTGCATTACACTGGTGGGGGAGGTGAGGTTGGGACTTGAAGGACAAATTCATGTTAAAAGTAAAAAATATTCTTAATCTTGAATATTTTATTGTAACAGCTGTGTAAAGCTAGTTTTTATTTTTTTATTTTTTTCATTAAATGCAAAAAATGGGTAGGAAAAAGGCCGCCTTCTAGATAGTAGCCATGTCCTCCCTCCCACAATAATCTACATACCAACCTTCTCCCTTTTTACCCCCCCCCCCCAAACTGTGAGCTGACGCACATTGTACGCACACACCTGTTTCGACAGTGCCTTAGTTGCCTAATAGTGGTCAAGCCTGAATGTGGGCTTGATAATGAGCATATATAAATACAACACAGTGGGCCTTCTTGGGGATAACGATTTTTTATCGAACATGGTGGGCGTAAAGGGAGTGTAAAGTGTGTCATGAAACAGTTTTAAGATAAAAATGTCGAAAACATAAAAATTTCCTAAGTTGAGGTTACATCTATATATTTATTTTGCTAGTCTGTCCATGTCTGTACCCAACAAACGTCAAAACGGCTGAACCGATCACGCCAAAATTTGTATTGCAACCCTTGCAAGCCTAGTTTTACAGTGTTGCACAATATTAGCTTCTTTTTTTCTTATTAGAGGTTTATTTTTTTAATTTATATAAAACATGATAAATTGAAACATGACAAGTTTGAAGCAAACTTGTCATGTTTAGAATATATTATTTGTGGAATAATTCAGATTTTTTAATGAAGCGTATTGTTTAGTGGGTATCGGAAGCATAACTGTAAATTAGTTTATGTTTACGCAGTTTCATGTGTTTCCAAATATCAAATATACGCAATTTTCTTGCGTCAGTTTTCCCTCATTTCAGCGTCATCGTCATTTTTGTCTGCAGTTCACATGTTTTAAAAGATTTGGTTATGGTCTTTATCCGTAATATTGTCTCTTTTATTTTAGCATAAGTTATCCATCTTTTCTTAAATATATGTATGATCTTTGTTTTCTTAATAACTGAACTTGTGTGTAAATTAATTAATCCTTGTATCCTTAAAACCTTCATTCTTGTATCCTTCTTACGTTGTATATATTTCTTTCCTTGTATATTTTTTGTATCCTTGTATCCTTGTATTCTTGTATTCTTGTATCCTTGTACTCTTGTATCCTTGTATCCTTGTATTCTTGTATCCTTGTATCCTTGTAATCTTGTATTCTTGTATTCTTGTATTCTTGTATTCTTGTATTCTTGTATTCTTTTATTCTTGTATTCTTGTATTCTTGTATCCTTGTATTCTTGTATTCTTGTATCCTTGTATCCTTGTATTCTTGGATCCTTGTATCCTTGTATCCTTGTATTCTTGTATCCTTGTATCCTTGTATTCTTGTATCCTTGTATCAATGTATCAATGTATCCTTGTATTCTTGTATCCTTGTATTCTTGTATCCTTGTATTCTTGTATCCTTGTATTCAGGTATCCTTGTATTCTTGTATTCGTGTATCCTTGTATCCTTGTATTTCTGTATCCTTATATCCTTGTATCCTTGTATTCTTGTATCCTTGTATCCCTGTATCCTTGTATTGTATTATCCTTGTATGCTTGTATCCTTATATCCTTGTATCCTTGTATCCTTGTATTCTTGTATCCTAGTATCCTGGTATCCTTGTATCCTTGTATCCTTGTTTCCTTGTATCCTTGTATCCTTGTATCCTTGTATCAGCTTGTATTTCTGTATCCTTATATTGTGTATTATGATTACTTTTATGCTAAAACTGATGTTTGTATTTACATTTCCCCTAAACGATCAGGCTGGTGCATGGCTCTACACCAATATTTGAATATTATTTGTCACCAGAAATCCATGGAATGCAATGGGTGTGCTAGGAAGGACTATATATCAATCAGTCAATCAATCTTGAGAAGGATTTGTAAGTTTTGAATTCCAGTGAACTTGTCTAACGGAAGATCTGAACTAAATTTTAAATTAAAGCTTGTGATCCACAATTGCGCAAGCTCTTGGAAAATAAAGACGACATTCGAATGTTCAAAAATCAAATTATGGCTTAATTGAATTACTGTTAAGTCCTCTACCATTCATTCATGCAAATATGCATTTTCAAGGCCAGCCCTCATCCTTATGTAGTTTTTACATTATTATATCACTAGTATTAGCTTGTTAAAAAGTCTTAAATTTATCATACAAATTCATGAATATATGCATCATTCAAATGCATCATAGAAATTCATGAATATATGCATCACACAAAATGCATCATAGAAATTCAAGAAAATATGCATCATACAAAATGCATCATAGAAATTCATGTATACATGCATCACACAAAATGCATCATAGAAAATCATGAATATATGTATCATACAAAATGCATCATAGAAATTCATGAATATATGCATCACACAAAATGCATCATAGAAATTCATGAATATATGCATCACACAAAATGCATCATAGAAATTCATGAATATATGCTCCCTTCACGTAAAACAATTTAGATCATTAACTAGAGGGGGAGGGTTGTTCCTAAAGGTTTTGATACTAGTTTGTCGCAAAAAGTTTACAGGAGGGAGAAGGGGATAGGGGGGGGGGGATATTGAATTAGATCTAAATTTGAAGTATTTTATAGCTTTGACATTTAAAATCGGTATATTAGGACCCCAAGGGTGGAACCTGTATGCTTTTAAAATAAAATCAAGTATGTTATATAGCTTAAAATTTAAGAAGTTTTTTTACTAAATGTTAGAAATGTTTATTCTTTTTCTTTTTTTATAAGTGCATAATGATGAGGTGCGCAACTAGCACTATGGAGGGTTGAAATTTCTTTACATTAAAGAATTAAAATATATTTTTATGCCTGAAGGTTAACGCTCATTTTCAAAAGCAAATCTGGACATTTTACAAATTGATTACAATTTTTTACTGTTGTAATAGAAATCTTTTAATATTTAATTATCAATGAGAGTTTCTCACAATTTTAATAATTTAATAATTAAGTTTAAGTTGAGGGATGCATATTATCTTCATTTCGGGAAAATAAAATATTTAGGTGAAAATACTAAAAAAAAAATAGGTTTTGAGATTAAAAATAATGAAATACTTTCTTTTTGTGTCTATTTGATGTAAACAATATTTCATTTCTTCCTGGATCTGTAAATATACCCCTCCTAATGTAAATTTATTTACAAAATTATTTACACCTACTTTAGTTACATAAATGAATACAAGTGTACGTTTTAAGTTGAACAAAAGCTAGAATTCCACATTTTGATAAGGCATATATATTTCCGGCATGCTTTTTTGGCATATCTATTTATAACTGTAATATCTTAAATCATAAGAGGGGCATGCCATGTATCCCATCAAGCATTTCAGCATGCCCACCCTCAACTAAGCGTTCTGCTGTAATTTGCAGTACACTGACCGAATATATAGTATTGTTTAGTGGAGAGTGCATGCTCCTCTTTTTTGCTTAGTTTGCACATCTCTAGATATCAGATATTACTAACATCCCCCTAGCTTGTGCCATCATCCTTTAAATCAAAAAAGGTGTGTGAGGGGGGGGAGGGGGTTGAAAGAGGAAAAAGTAATTAAAAAAGAGAATTGAATGACATTCAACATTAATAATACCAATTAGTAGCGGGGTACAAGATAATTTCATAACATCCCCCCCCTCCCCCCGCACTGTTACAACATCAAGTAATTTTATTTCAGGAGGGGGGGATTTGTACATACTAACAGTGGTACTTAGTTTTTGTAGATTTTTGTTGTGCCAATCATACCCCCCCCCTCCCCCCTGAATATTTTGAAATTTTGTATTTTTATTTCGAAAATTTTTGAGTTCATTGAACAATGAACAGTACAGTGCACCTTATTCAATTCAATTAAAGTCCGTTATTAAAAACTGCAGTTACTGCTCTGAATTCAGAACAACGCATTATCTTTAAACTTCTGAAATGCTTTATTTGTTATTTATATATTTTATTTTCATCGAGTTTTGGATTATTCTAAATATTTTCATGTTTTTCAGGGGTTTAACAGCTTTTGTAAGTCATCCATCTTAAATATGGCAACTTTGACCCCACGTGTTCAGATTTAAACTTACTTGGCATTCCCCACTCCATCAATCAATCACGCTTCCCGCCCTGTACTCGCAGTACAAACATATTAATTTGTTTAGAAGATAGGAATTTAGCATCGATTTTTATCACAGACTTAATGCAAAATATATGAATTTATTTATAAATAATGCTGTTTGCATGCTCTGGATTTAAATGGATGAAAAGTTACTTGTTTAAAACAATTTAAGTCAACCATCTTTGAAATTCACCATACTTTTAAATTGATCTAGGTGTACACTTTAAAAACAATTACGATGCATTATGTGCTCAATCAATCAATTAGCATGCAGTATACGTCGTAAACACACCCCTCTCAACATGTAGATAAGAGAGATTACACCATTAATGGATTAAACTCCAGCAGCCTTGGAGCATGTAAAAAGAAATTCAGTTTTCTAAGAGATAAAATAATTCGAAGATTTCTTTTTCTAATTTGATTAGTTTTTTACAATTTAATATTTCAGGTGTGTTAATTTCAAAATGGTGCTTTAAGCTAAACTCACATTGAGTGACTCAACTTGTACAAAGTGAACTTGCTGCAGTAATCAAATCAACAGCTGATCTGTGAAAGCCAGAAAGTGAAAGTAAACCAGAGCTATACTAGGCAAAGTGACTGCAAGAGTATGTTGAAAATATAAGAGAACAAATTGAAGACGACATAATGTTGCAGCATTCAAGAAACAGTCATTCAGGCTCAAGCTCGGATAGAAATAGTGTCACATCAAATGATGGTAAGTGTTTGTATACTGTACAGAGATCACCAAAAATAGTAGAATTGTTGTAAAAAATTTGTCTTTCTGTAACTGTAAAATGTGGCTGTAAGGATTTAGATTTACTTTAAAAATGTGTCCGAGCTGGGAACTTTTGTGTTGTGGATATCGAGATCAACGCTTGATCTGTTGTTTATCTGCAGATTAATTTAATCTTGATATCCCGAATGATAAACTTACCCAGTCAGAGGTGGAAGGGAGCTTTGATTGTGGAAGGAATAAATAAAATCAAGATATGGGAAGGTTTAGCATTTTATGAACTTTACATAAAAGTGCACACAGTGGATATCAAGATCTAATGATAAGGGTTATAAGTAACCAACATAAAAGTTCCCGGCTCTGAACATTTGAATTTCTGAAGATAAAAGATTTTCATATTTCTTTAATCCTTGACGACTTAAAGTGAAAAGGAAGACGGCAATCATTCCGCAATTTGCTGGATACCCCGGTATTGGAAGAGTTATATCAATAAATTAAATATATCAGAGTTCTTTAAATATAATCTTTAAATACAAAGACGATTTTGCATATTGGATATCACTCTAAATCACAATGATAAAAACCAAAATTATTTCACTTGAATTATAATTGAGTTTTATATTCTAAAAAGTTTATTTGGTTGTTCAGAACTCTAAAAAGAAATCCTGAAAGAGAGGTTAAGAATAAATTAAATATTTGCAGGAGGGTCCCCGACCTACCTCCTGGAGCACCTCGCCACGTTCACCGTCTCCCCGGAGAACGACCTCGTCTATCCGGCCGACGGGATGCGACGACTTCTCGCCATGGAGAAAACTTCAGGAATATGGACACAAAAGGTATTCAGTACATTTCTCAACTGAACCCCCCGCCCCTCTCCTTAATTTCGAAAATGCACCACAGTTCCCCCAAAATATTAACCCCCCCTCCCCGGACCCCACCCCCAAACTGAAAATATATAAAAGTCTAAAAGATCTTGCATATAGCCCATTTATATAAAAACTTTCGTTTGAAGTACCGGTCTAACTTTTAAGCAGAGCTAGAGTGAATTGTGCAGTAAAAATAATATGTAAAACAATTGTTAACCAGTAAGAACCAAATTTGCATAACTTATTTGGGACACCCTATTGTTTTGATCTGATATTCCATCCCATATTTGGGACACCCTATTGTTTTGATCTGATATTCCATCCCATATTTGGGACACCCTATTGTTTTGTTCTGATATTCCATCCCATATTTGGGACACCGTGTTGTTTTGATCTGATATTCCATCCCATATTTGGGACACCCTGTTGTTTTGATCTGATATTCCATCCCTTATTTGGGACACCTTGTTGTTTTGATCTGATATGTCATCCCTTATTTGGGACACCCTGTTGTTTTGATCTGATATTCCATCCCATATTTGGGACACCCTGTTGTTTTGATCTGATATTCTATCCCTTATTAGGGGTTCTCTGTTTAGAGGCATGCCTTTCCGGGGGCAAAAAGTCCGGGTCCAATTATTTTGTCAAAATGTGTAACATGTTCATTTATCTAAAGTGGGTTCACTTACATGGGCCAGACAAGTACTCAAATCTAAACGTAAGGAAGAAGTTCATTTTATGCGATATTATTTCTCAAATTTCTCATTCAGTTTTCTGTAAAAAGTGAAAAAAAAACTTTAGTTTGTTTATTGTTGCTCTAACTAATTCTTTAATTTTTCTTTGGTTTTAAATTCCCCTTTTTTTAACATTTTTTTTGTATCAAATTGATTTTAGAATAGAAATTTATTTATCATAAATAAGAATGACTCCTAAAATTATTTTTTATACTTACTTTTTGTAGATACTTTTAAAGTTATAGATTTTTATTTTCCCTTTTGTTTATTCATCTTTAAAATTTACCTTTTGAAACGGTATTGTTTTGTTATAATTGACTGTTATTAGGTTTTTGTTATCAGAATTAAATGAATTAAATAAACAAATTTGATTTGAATGAACAATATCAATTAGCACTAGTTTAAAACCAGGGAATAACCATTATAACAACCATTACATTTGTTAAACCATTTCTAATGGTTTTATGCACGTTAAACATATGTTCTCACCTCCTGTACCCTTCACCCCATTCCTTCCCTCCCCCCCCCCCCTATTTAAAATGTACTACAATGTATTTATATACTTTTTAAAGTTTTTTACTTTTAAAAAATACATTTTTTGTTTTGAATACCTGGGCCCGTTAACGGGAAATGGTAGAATATTTTATTTAACGGCCACATTATTAAAAAAAAACGAAGGTATTAAGATCGATCCTTAGAGAGTTTGGAACGATCATAAATTATTGTTGGATGGAACGATCAACCATTGTTCTCATATAAAGAGCCTCTAATGAAAAAAATATATAATTCAAAACGCTACGAGCAATTTTTTAACGTGGATTTGGAAAATATTGAACGATTATCAGCCTTAACAAACGTTGAACGAAGAGTTTACCAGAATGAAGAACGTTCCCAGTCCTATTTTATCTGTATTTAGTTCTAAGATTACAAAATATAATAACATGGTTTATAAAACATCTGCCCTATATCTTTCCCATACTCTATGATCTAATGATCTAAAGGTCATCTTAGATCAATGAAACACTAGGTTTAGAAGATGTAATACGAGTTCTTTAAGCATGTATTCATGACATATTACGCACAGTGCCAATTAATTCTTTATTATATATATATATATATCTACCAAGCAAACAATGTATGTAATTCTTCTTAATATCTATATGTCTGTCTCCAAATCTATAGTTATCTTTCTATATATTTATCTTTTTATCTATCTATCTATCTATCTATCAATCTTTTGTCGAGATAAAATAAGCCACTGTGGCGGAAGACGACTCAAGATGAAGAGGCTGAAGCCGGATATTCGGACGCGGCAAGATGAACATTCTATTCCTGCCACGTCACCTTGATATATGTTTTCTATTAAGATATTTTGAGTTTAAATATTTAGTCAATAAAGTATTTCTTTAAACCTCGACGTGCATTATTGAGCGTAGCCAAACCTATACCCTAAAGATGGTTTAATATAACAAAAAACTTAAAGAAAAGAGTTTTCAACCATGGATCACTGCAGAGTGTAAGATTTAGAAGAGTTGTATCCATCTCATCTATCTTTATACTATAATATATCTTCTTAAAATGTATCTATATATCTATCTATTATCTATTAGATATTTTATTGAACAAATTTCTGAGCAAATTCATTTAAAAACTATGTTGTGTAGCCGATTTGTATCATTTTGCGAATCTATGTGTAAAAGTCGCAAGCTCAGCATCCGACTATTGTTTGATTTATGCAAAAATGACCAAAGAACAAAATTATGTAAGAATTTATCTAATATTGCAAATGAAACCTATGTAGATAAACTGTCCTTGAACAAGTCCCTAGTAAAGTCAAACATGATTTACGCGAATCCGGCCGAAAATGCTTGGAGAATTCCACTGTTAAAAGATTTACTATTAATCCGGTCAAATCCAAATGTTTTAGAAGGATTTAACTATGATGAAATAGATGTAATTATTGATGATATATGTAAAAACTAACTAAGTTTTTATTTTTTTATTTTATTTTATTGTTTTCGACTATATATTAATTCTATATTTTATATGTTATATATCTCATTTCTCGTTGATTTTAAATTGTACCATTATAATTGTGTACTAATAAATAGAATATATATATATATGTCTATCTATTATACAGGGTGTTTTTATCAATTAAGATCGTGTATGGCTCTAACTTGCGTTTTTCGAGACTAATTAGAAAATTTAGAAAAAATAAATCAATTTTAAAAATTGTATAAGTCTAACATACAAATATATATGAGATAATCCAATATGAAATGGGACGCTCTGTATATCTATCTATCCATATCTAATTATCTATCTATCTATCTAGATGTTGATGAGGTTGGAGAAGAGGATGGTGAATATAATGGATAATGAGAACAGGGAGGTGGTGGAGAGGTTCCCCCTCCACCTAGTCAGGGAGCCTACTGCCTTCACATCTAACGATCCTAAGGTACAGTTTCCAAGGTTATAAAACTATCATAATATATATAAATATATAAATATGATTGTAAGAGTTACACTTTGTTTACAGAGTCACCCTCCATTCAAAAAGTTACCCTCCATTTAAAGAGTCACCCTCCATTTAAAGAGTTACCCTCCATTTAAAGAGTCACCCCAAATTGAAGATTCACTCCCATTTAAAGAGTCACCTTCCATTTAAAGAGTCTCCCCAATTTAAAGATTCATTCCCATTTAAAGAGTCACCCCAATTTAAAGATTCATTCCCATTTAAAGAGTCACCCCAATTTAAAGATTCATTCCCATTTAAAGAGTCACCTTCCATTTAAAGAGTCTCCCCAATTTAAAGATTCATTCCCATTTAAAGAGTCACCCCAATTTAAAGATTCATTCCCATTTAAAGAGTCACCCCAATTTAAAGATTCATTCCCATTTAAAGAGTCACCCTCCATTTAAAGAGTCACTCATCATTTAAAAAGTCACCCTCCATTCAAAAAGTAACCCAAATTTAACGAGTCACCCCAATTTAAAGATTCAATCCCATTTAAAAAGTCACCCTCCATTTAAAGAGTCACCCCAATTTAAAGATTCACTCCCATTTAAAAAATCGCCCTCCATTTAAAAAATCACCCTCCATTTAAAAAGTCACCCTCCATTTAAAGAGTCACCCCAATTCACTCCCATTTAAAGAGTCAACCTTCATTTAAAGAGTCACACTTCATTTAAAGAGTTCGTTTATAGAGTTGCCCTACATTTAAAGATTAACCCCCATTTAAAGAGTTGCCCGCCATTTAAATATTCACCCTCCATTTAAAGAGCTACCCCCTATTTAAAGAGTTAAATTTCTTATTAACAACGGTATCTGATCTGGTTGAACGTGAACCCTAGCTTGAAATCGTGGATCTGCCAATGTTTTGCCTCGGGCTAGTTATTGTATAGTAGCGTGAACACAATCTATTAGAGTGCTCAACCAGAGGAAATCAAAAGGCCAATAGGTGTTCGGTGTAACATATTGTGATAGATGTATAGAGTATACATTCTTGTATTATTTAATCAACTAATAATTATTATTATTATCATTATTATTATGTATTGTTATATTCTTTTCTAGGAAATGTACAACAATATTGTTATTTATATTGTTGGATTACCACCAGATCAATCAGGAGATAACAGTGAGATGCATATATTCCAGGTAAACTTTAATGTCGTCTTTATGATATATTCCAGATAAACTTTAATGTCGTCTTCATGATATATTCCAGGCAAACTTTAATGTCGTCTTTATAATATATTCCAGGTAAACTTTAATGTCGTTTTTATGATAAATTACAGGTAAACTTTAATGTCGTCTTCATGATATATTCCAGCTAAACTTTAATGTCGTCTTCATTCTATATTCCAGGTAAATTTTAATAATATATTCTTAATGTCGTCTTCATGATATATTCCAGGTAAACTTTAATGTCGTCTTCATGATATATTCCAGGTAAACTTTAATGTCGTCTTCATGATATATTCCAGGTAAATTTTAATGTCGTCTTCATGATATATTCCAGGTAAACTTTAATGTGTTTTCTAAAATTGGGAAAGATATTTTGATCAACCTTCTTTGTATGAAATGAAAGAACTCATTGCCACACATCTTAAAAACTAATGTTCATAATCCTTGATTGATTTAAATTTTGTATGTTTTGAAAAATTTTGAAACAAAAATTGTAATATATTTTTGTCTTTTCCAGTGTGTGAATGTAAGTGCAAGAGATGTAGTGGAGGACCTGAAAGCCCTAAAGCAAGGACGGTTTAAGAATGGGGATAAATCCCCCCTAATATCCCCGAGTGGACGCAAGAATTTCGAGTCCCAGTCCTCTCCGCGCATACATGCGCAGTTAGAGAATAGTAAAGATGAGACAAGTTCAACCAGCAGTGATAAACATGAGAAAGATGTAAATGTGTTGAACAGGTTCGAATTAACTATTTATAACAGTGTTATTTTGGTTCAAATTAACTATTTATAACAGTGTTTTGGTTCGCAGTGTTATAAAGTTTTTGGACAAAAAATTTTAGAGAAAATTTAAGCCCAAAAACTGTATAGCACGTCGTGCCAAAATAATAGTGTTATATGTTTTATGAAACGTTTGTGTTCTTGTCTTATTTCAATGCAACAAAACAGAAGTCAAAATATAAAGTTGATTTTAATTTTATTTTCATTTCAATTGAAAAACAAATATTTGGATATATCCTACATGTTTTGGAGAAAATCCGGAAACCAATCAAAATTTATAGCACACGTGCCATAATGCATAGCTAATTTAACTTTATAGCACATTTATTATGAAATTCACGATGAAGTAAGGAAGAATGATAAAGTACACAATAGCTTCGTAAAATTATTGAGAAAAATATTTTTTTTTTCACCGTATTTTCATTTATTTAATTTTTGGTTATGAAATTGTTTAACCAATCTAATTTGTTTAGGTGTTTTGATGATATTGAAAAATTTATCGCGCGTCTTCAGCACGCTGCCGCGGCATACCGTGAACTAGATAAACGAAGACGATCTAGAAAATCAAAGAAAAAAGACCTCGGGGATGGAATGCTCTCTGTACGGGCCAAACCACCACCAGAAAAAGAATTTATAGAAATTTTCCAAAAGTTTAAACTTTCATTCAATCTACTGGCCAAGTTGAAAGCCCATATTCACGAACCTAACGCCCCTGAGCTCGTTCATTTTCTATTCACGCCCCTAGCGCTCATTGTCGACGCTTCTCACGACTCTCAGTACGGTCCTAATGTTCCAAGCAAAGTATTGACTCCACTACTCACCAAGCAGTCCGTAGACCTATTGCTTAACTGCTTAACTTCTAAGGTATATTTGAACGGGGGGGGGGGGGGGAATAAAATATTTGGCATATTGTTTTTACAGAAAGAACTATTTTACAGAAATTTTTTTGTTACAAAAGATATCAACAAAATATCATTCAAATTTTGAAATAAACAAAAATATATAAAGTCTTTAACTTGTTATCATCGTTAGTCCTGAACGGGGAGCATGTTAAGGAATAAAAAAAAGAACTACAGTCTGTAACAAATCCCTTACTCCAGTAATACTTTAGTCTGTATCAATCCAAGTATAAACTTATGTATTCGTAAGTATGTATCAATCCAGATACAACACTCTCTGTATTCTCATGTTTGTATCAATCATGATACAACTCTCTTTCTCTACCAAGAGCTAATACGTCTGACCGTAATAAAACAGTATTCATATTCAACTAAACTATAATGTACAGATTAAGATTAAACTGGCCGATAATACGGTCAGGTGATTATAACGCAATAAATATATACAGGTAGGTTCAGGTTTACAAGATATGGGGTTTATTACTATATTTATTACAAGTCTGAAGTTTGAAAAGAAAACTATAAAATACATTATAAATTAACCCGGGACTGTTTCATATGAAAATTGCCAATTCTGCAATAATCGAAATTCGGAAATAATTTATACTCGTTTTGTGGGAAGGGGGAGGGGGGGTTATACATTTTTGAAATTTCAATTAAAGAAATTAGCTTTTGTTTTTGCAAATAAGTATGGTTATTATACTCATTACCTTTGTTTTGTGAACATTATTCATGCAAAGCACATAATTATGAAGTTGTCATCAATATTTAAACATGAACTTTTTAAAGAGTTGATCTTTACAGAGTCTTCCCCCCCCCCCGTGATGTTGAAAACGGAAATTTACAGGGCTAAAACAGGGGTTAATATCGGTAAAATTAGCCTTGTTTTGTTCTCTGCTTTAGATAGATTTGTAATTCCAATATTTTATTAATAAAGTTCGGGATTTTAAAGTTTGAATTTTAACCTCAAACAAACTAAATAAAGTAAATAATATAACAATGGCAGTTGCATAAATAGATATTTTTGTAGGAAAGCGAATTATGGCATTCTCTTGGAGAACCCTGGTATGTTCCATTAGAACATTGGAAAGGATATGTTCCTCCCTATAGTCCAGTGTTCCAGGACGGATGGAAACCGCTGATGGCGGAAACATATGGAACAGATCGACGGAAGTTTAACGATGAAGACAATTCGACGATTAATGAAGAGGATGAAGGTATGTTTATTATTATTATTATTATTATTATAGCATTCGGTTTTTTTATTTGAATTTAATCTTGTTTTTCGTCTTATTCAACAATCTCTAAACTTACATAGATATCTTTAAATATTTTTCGATTAATAAGGTATCCGCCGACCAAAAAAAAAAAAGTGGAAATTGTTCGTTTAAAGGTCAAATTGTAGTTAAATGGTGACCGAAAGTCACAGCCTTTTGAGACAAGGACCATACTGCTAAATCAGCGTGACCCCTTCTTTATAATTCCATAAAATTCTCTCAGTGCATCATTTCAACTAGATTGCATACAAAAATAAAGATTAGGTTAGGCGTATTATAAATTTTAAATTTTTGAATAACTGTTGTTGAAACGTGAACAATTTTTAAACATTTTTAAAAAAGTATCTATATATAAAGTTGAAATCTCTGTTTGTATGTTTGTTTGTCCGATCACAACTCAGGAACCTTTTTTCTGATTTGCCTCAAATTTGGATTGGGGAATTCGGGAGAACCACGGTTTTAAGATTCTAAATTGAGTTGACTTAAATCGGGATAAATATCTCAGATCGTAATTTTCCCAAGCTAGAGAAATCTAGTCTTCTATGAATATTGTATGAATCTATTGTTAAAGGTACGGTAAAGGGGTTTATCCCGAGAAAATGATCCGAGAAGACAGGCATACCCCCGACCAGGAATACAGGTAAACAAAGGACAGGCATACCCCTGACCAGGAATACAGGTAAACAAAGGACAGGCATACCCCCGACCAGGAATACAGGTAAACAACAATCAAAGGGACTGTCCCGAAAAACGAGTAAATAAATTAAAATAATAATTCTTTCGAGTGTTTCTGTTAAGGGAAAGGGGCCCACAATTGTTAACGTTGTGAATTGTACATGCAACTTTAAAACCGAGCGTCACTTGAAATTATGACATGAGTACAGTGTGTCCCTTTAAATAAAGTTAAATTCAGATTTGATAATGTTGAATTTGTTTATCGAATGTAAACAAGAGAATAAGAATCCTACGCTACTCTTTATTCTTATCATAATAATTTTTAGTATTTTCATCAAAACTAATTTACAACAGTTGAGACTCTGTAATGGACCTCTGTATATTCTAGGTTGAATACCAGTGGAAAAGCGGACTCTGAGCTAGAACTTGACCTCTGTATATTCTAGGTTGAATACCAGTGGAAGAGCGGACTCTGAGCTAGACCTCCGTGACGCCGACCTCCGAGGACCAGAAGAACAAATCATGTTTGAGAGACAGCAAAGAAATTTTATTCTAGATTTAAAGGTAAAACAAAATAATATTTTTCTTTCTTAAAAATGTTTTACCGAAAAAAACAGATGTATAATTTCCTACCTTCATTTAATATGAATTATAAATTGTTTCTTTGTTCATGCATTTTTTTATTTCTGAATGATCGCTTTCAGAAGTTTTTCATGAAATGCACATTTCTGTTATTACTCTCCATCTCGCCAAGTCACCCCCCACCCTCTAACTTTTTAAAAACACTTTATTCAACATTGATTATTTTACAAATGTATTCATTTGAAACGGATAAAACCGCGGCGTGGTTTGATCTCAAACCAAGTTAATGGCGGTCTTGTAAAAATTCACCAATTTCTCCAAAGAACTTAGAAACCGATCAAAACCAATATGAGTATTGAGTAACGGCAAAAATTTTTAACAAAAACTGAAAATATATTATTGTTCACTAAAAACCCTTACTTTGAAAATTGTCGCGTCTTTATGTCGTTTCCATTCAGCCATTTCCCCCACAAGGAAATGTTGGTGATTTTTCATGTCGTCTTGTACACTTGTAACTTGTAGGAGAGAGGCAGTAAGATAGTGCAAGTGACCTACCCCCGAACAGCGAACAACGAGAAGGAGTTGACTGTCTTCAGGGGGGAGTTCCTCGAGGTTCTAGACGATACCAGGTAGTGAGGGGAGGAAGGCAACCCCCACCCTTTTTGTCTCCGAGTCACTATAGACTTCTCAAAATGGATTTTAAGCATTATGCTATATCCGGTGTGAGTTAGAAACCCTTAGGATATTCGTTATGCTGCAAATACATTTGTAAATTAATTTGTGGGTCATGTCAGAGGTAAAATAACAAATGTAACGGTTTTTTAAAACTTTTGAAAATTTTATTAAAGTACAATTAGTAACGCTACGTGTTAATTAGCATAACACGTATAATGCTTCATTTATAAAATTCTTCCTTAGTTAGTATTATTAAATATCATTTGGTGTGCTGTCACGTTTTGCATATGTACTTTACAGCTTGCTCTAGCTGCTTAGTAGTCGCCCCGGTACTCGAAATGACCGGTAGTTTACAGTGAACGAGCAATGGACCTGATTAACCAAAAAATAGATAAATAGAAACAAATGATTCAACCAATGCCCAGTTATATAGTAAACTTACGGCAATTCAAACACCATCGGCGGAGTTACTTAGCAGATTCCACCATTGTAAATCGGGAATTACTTACTTTGCATGGAGGGCCAATTGAAATCACTCTCCCAGTCACATAAATTTGCCCGCACTATCTATAATTGTACTCCGTACAGCTTGCTATAACTGCTTAAAAGCCGGTCCGGTACTTAAAACGTTCCGGAGTTACGAGTATGGTCTCTTTAACAAGCCATTTATATCTTTAAAATAAAAATTATATTTTAGGAAATGGTGGAAAACGCGGAATTATCACGGCGAAACTGGTCACGTGCCTCACACAATAGTGACCCCTGCCGGAGATAATCCGCAAATATCACCGAAAAGTGCCGAATGGATTCAGAAGGAGCGACGAGGGAAAAAAGGAGAATTCAGATATTTTTAGATTGAATGATTACTCCATAATCAGCTATTAATGAGCCATCTAGCTATTAGCAGATGATTATCTACTGAATATACCGATAAATCAGCTATAATTCAGCTGTTTATCAGCTGTAAATCATCTGTTAATCAGTTGTTATCAAACTGCAGTTAATTTTTAAGCGGATCATCAGAAGTATATCAGCTGTTTTTTAGCGGATTATCAAATGTATGTCAGATGTATATCATCTATTTATTTTCCATTGATCATCTTAAGGAAGGTTTATTCAATTCAAATGTTTTTTATTTAAAGTTTACTTTTCTTTATTTTCATTTTTTCTCTAATTTTGTCTAACAATTTTTATCTTTGAATTTAAAATCTATAATCAATTTAGAAAATGGTGAGAAATACACAGTGATAATTTGTTTCATTAGGTTTATATATAGAACAAGTTTTTAATAATGTTTTCGCAGATTGCATTTATTTTTTAACGACACTTGAGAAAAATCAACATTAAAATGATTAATATTTTGAAATTATAAGTTGTTAAAAAAGATTGTAATACGGTGGTAGGCTATATCAATGTAATGTAGACGACTTTCGATTTTAATTGTAATTTATATTAAGCTTTATGCAGTAAACAACGAAAGCTGCTAATTAAAAAAGCTTCTCTTGTATTATTTGTAGACTTGTAATTCGTAAGAAGCTTTTTAACAATTAAAAGAAGAAAAAAGTCGTCTTCATCATACTAATAAAATCGCCTACCACCATATTCAAATTTAAATTTCAACACAATCACTTTTATTATAATTAGAATTTCAAGCAATAGTTTTAATGATCTTACTTTGCTCAATAAAATGCAATACGACTTCCTAATTTGCTGGAAATGATTATAAATTAAAATATTTTTTAAAATCTACTTTTCAAAAAAAAATCCAAAAAAGAAGGAAAATGTAACATTTTGAAAATTATTATTTGTTTATGATGCCAGCCACTCTAATTATATGAAAGAACTTTTCAGTTATTTCATTGAGTTTTTATACAATACTTTTGTTGTGATTTAATAATTTTCCATTCTTGCAATTTACTATTTTTGTACAAATATATTTGATCTATTACAATTGAACCATGTTATTATTTGGCAAAAGTTTCGTTTTGTTAATCAACAGCATTTAGCCTTTTCGTGAATGATTTATTCTGAATAATCCGAAATTAAACTTAGACAAGAGGTGAAATCTTCTATACGAGAATATCGTTAATCCTGCACGCTTGGTCCCGATATCAACTTTTAAAGGAATTGAGTTTTTGCCACATACTCAAATTTGTTAATCTCTATATCTTTAATATTTAAAACTTATACTATTTGTTCTAACAGATTTCATAGGGTTCCAAAGATGTAGGTATTTGAAAATCACAGTTTGTGACAAAGACTCAATTCCTTTGATGATAAATGCCTGATTACTATATTAAAGAGTATAGACCCCTCATTTATAGAAATATGAGGCTATCTCCTATATACCTTATCCAAATGGTACTGCAGTGACTCGACTGTCCCTTTAAGGATGCGTTATTTATCATGTATCCCTCTTTAAAGATATTCCTCACCACCGCTTTTACACAAAAACCTTACAATATTTTGCTAATAACTTCTTGTGAGCTAGAAACTAGCGTGTTACAATTTTAAATTGTATATGTCATTGGCATGGGCCTTAAAATAATTGTAATTGCGTTGGTGACAGTGGCGTAAATAATGGAGGGTTATTTACCCCCCCTAGAATCCTGGGGCCCCTAGAATTTGTTTTTTTAAAAAAGGTTGATTTTAAAATTGAATATCTTTAAAATTTGCACGAAAATAATTCGAATGTGCAAATATTTCAGATTTTAAGTCAACATATTCTAAATTATAAAGTAATTGTCAATGTCATTACAATTAGATGTTCTTTTTTATATACAAAAGGGTATGGACAATTAAGAATACATGTTTACTTCTAAATAAAGTCATTTCCATGTTAGATTTATTTAAGATCTTAACATACTATCATTGACGACAAGCAAATTTTTGAAATTAGAAATTAGCAAAGGCTATTGTAAACATTTAATGTAAAAAAGTTTCGAACTGTATTCAAACTTTGAATTATTTTGGTAAAATATTCTAAGTTTGAAATATCAAAGGTTTACACCACTCGGTGCAAAAATTTAGGAATTAGAATATTTGAGTTTGTGGCAAAAAATCATTTCCAAATCTAGAGAACATTCTGAGACTGAGCCTGGCAAACTTCCAACTGATTATCATATTTGATAACCTGTTTATCTTCTTTAAACGAACTTCTATAAAATCAAAATGAATTTTGGTTAGAATGTCCCCCTTGAAGGAGCAGAGACCGACCCTAGATGAAGTGAGGGCCCCCTGAAGGAGCAGAGACCGACCCTAGATGAAGTGCGGGCCCCTCTGAAGGAGCAGAGACCGACCCTAGATGAAGTGAGGGCCCCCTGAAGGAGCAGAGACCGACCCTAGATGAAGTGAGGGCCCCTTGAAGGAGCAGAGACCGACCCTAGATGAAGTGAGGGCCCCTTGAAGGAGCAGAGGCCGACCCTAGATGAAGTGAGGGCCCCCTGAAGAAGCAGAGACCAACCCTAGATGAAGTGAGGGCCCCCTGAAGGAGCAGAGACCGACCCTAGATGAAGTGAGGGCCCCCTGAAGGAGCAGAGGCCGACCCTAGATGAAGTGAGGGCCCCCTGAAGGAGCAGAGACCCACCCTGGATGAAGTGAGGTCCCCCCTGAAGGAGAAGAGAACCACCCTGAAGGGTGTTAGATCCTCAATGAAGGAGGAGAGGCGCCCATGGAAGGAAGGAGGACGCCGTAAACCTAAGAAGGATGTATGTCCCCCTAAGATAGGAACCATAGTGAAATATTTGGAACTTTTTCCCCAGCTGGATGGAGGTTGTACGCCAGACATACATTGTTCCTACTCCTGGTACACTCCTCCAGACTGAACCCGAATTTAAGCTCGATAAGGAAGAACAAGAATCTGATCCTAAACCACCCCTTCCTCCACCTAATTTAATCAATCCAATATTCGGGTATTGTCAGGATAAAAACTGTTCTTTGTGTCCAACAAAATCGAATGATATATACTTTGGAGAAAAAAACTCAGCGGGAGCGGTTGAACCAGCGGTTGAGATCTAGCCTAGACTCTACGCAGTTCAGAATAAGAAATGCGCCTTTTTTTCTCAAATTTAAAATTTGTTCAATCAATAAATTCCTGCTTTTTTCATTCATATTTTTATTCACTTTTTAAAACTTTTTTAGTAGTTAAACACACTTTTTTGCTTTAAGCTTACTGTTTTTTCACAACATTTACAAAAGCTTAACGTTGTATAAGGTATTCAAGTGCAGAAAATTCATTACGTAACGTTACTCTATGCCATAAAATTTTATAATGTGCAACGTAACGTTTCAAACGTTTATACTTTTGATGAACACTATCGTAACGAAAGCTAAAATCTAGAAAAATCGAAACGTTGACATCTCTACATTCGGATCAAAGACGGTAGAATAGTAGAAGATAGGGCATTAGGAATTTATCCGAATAGTGTGTATCAGAAACCAATTAAATTAGGTATTCAATTTTAACATATATTTATCATTGTGATTTTAAAGCAAAAAATTTCTGTAACATTATTGTTGTAATTGTTGTAATTGTTTGTTGTAATTATTTTCCAGTAATAGTAACTGGAGCAGGTGTAGCAGTACCAGCTAAAGCACCGGTTAAAGCTGAAGCAGCTGCAAAACCTAGGGCTCCAGCTACCAATGGTCCTAAAACAATATTTTTTTTTATTTAAAGGGGACTATAAATGTAGTTTTAATTAATACTTTTCACCAAGCTTAAACGTCTTTTTCCGAAAAAAAAACATTTCGTTTGGCCATTTTAATTATAGTTTTATTTGCTTCATGCTACTTTTTTAATAATTTATCAGAGAAAAATTCCAGAAATGTCATTAAAATCCAAAACAAATATGATGTGATTTCTTAGCAAACACCCTTTTAACCCTGTATCACGAATTTTTGAACATTAACAAAATAAAAAAATTCCGAAAAAAACTCCCTGTATTTTTTTTAGAAAAAATAATGTAAAAACAAAAAAAAGTTTTGTAAATCATTGCACAATTTCGTGGTACAGGGTGTTATTTATTCCAAGTTACCCAATAAGCTGGCGAGATTGAATCCACTTCCAGTAGAATAGCTAGGATAGGAGGAGTAGGTAGGTCTGTAGTAGCTGTAGGAGCCACCGTAGCTTGAGCAGTATCTGTTCAGTTTTCCAAATTCAGCTTTTAGTTCAGCAGTAACGGGAATCTAAAAATACAACAAGTTGTCTCAGTTAAAATGACAATTAGGAAATGACTTAAGACTCATCAGTAACTAAGAAGGGGACTTCACACGTAATCTTAAGGGACATTTCCGATTCACAACGGTTCAGGTATGAATAACATAATTCCTAGTGTTTTTTTGTCTAAAGGAGAAATAAATTCCTCCATTTACTTGCTAACGAAATCGTTGTGAATTAGGCAAAATAATCTTTAAAAGAAGAATTACATGAGATTACGTCGACAATTCCTTTAAAGAATATATATTTGGTTTAGTTGGATTAAATATACAAGTATGTGATTAGAGATGGGTTTAATTTTTTTAATTAACAACATTTTTGAGATTAAACGAAATTTTAAATGAAGAAGGGTGTTGTTCGGAAAAAACGAACTATGGAAGAACGAAATATCGATTGTTCAGAGCAATTAAAAAATCATCGTTTTTAAAAACAAACGATAAAAAACAAACTGAAAAAAAAACAATAGTTGTTTTGCTGAACGAACTAATTTCCCAAAAGATTTTGAAAAAACTATCGTTTTTACTGAAAGAGCATTTTTTTAAACAAACTTTTGAAAGATACGATTGTGTTTTAACTTAACATACGATTTTATTAAACGAACAATATTATTGAACAAGCGATTTTACTGAACGATCGTTAAGTGAAAAAAAACGAAAGAAATTGTTGGAAAATGAACAAAAATTTTAAGAACAAACGAGATTATGAGAATACTTACAGTTCTCACTGGGAAAGGTTTATACTGGAGTCCCTCAACCAGTGATCCTAGACACACAGTCAGGAGGAACACGGATACCTAGATATAGAGTACTCTTTGAACCAAGGTTGAGTATTAAGGTTGTTTACTCTCGGTGCGCTCCAATGTACGGAAAATGTTCTGTAAAATCTACAAATGACGTCACTGATCCCTACACTCACCTCTATATTGAGTGACGTCATTTATGATTTTCACTTGTTCATACATTTGAGCGCATTGAGAGTAAGCAACCCTACTAGACAACCTTGGTTTGAAGTATCCGACCAAACTCTGAGCAACTAAAAACTCAACTTTTCTAATCATTTTATCTTTGCAACATGATATCGTAGAACTTTGATATTTCAAACTTTTAGATTTAGTAATGATAAGTTTACTCAATTAGGTTGCAAAGATATATTGATTATGAAAGAAAGTTTTGGTAAAGGCTTTGTACAGTATACTGTATACATAAGCTATGTGCTATATGCAATTACCTGTACGACTTATATCAAATTTCAATTGTAACGAAATTGTAGATTAGAGAAAAACGTATTTGAAAAACTTATTTTATCATCTTAATACCGAAATGACACATTTGAAGTATTGAAATCATTATTTAAATTAAAATAAAAATACTTTAAAACAGTTTTAGAGCACTCTCACAAAAAAATAACGGTAGTTAAAAACTGAAAATTTCCAGCTTTTTTGTAAATCTGAATCAAAAGTTTAAAAATTTGAACAACCCGCTTAACATTGTCAAGAATTAAGATTTTGATACCTTTTTCTTATTCAATTTGAACCTTTTTTAAACTCAATTTTAAATTGAGTTAACTTACCAATGCAATGAAATTAGCCATAGTATCTGATGTATTTTCAATAAAAATATGAATCTTTTATACTAATCTAATTTCAAACAGATGTTTTAATCCTATTTAATGCACAATACTTATGATATATAATAGATATAATAAAAGCAATTCTAAATATTAAATTGTAAAAAATGTAATCAGTGCAAGAAAGAGCTTGTTGATGATATATATTATTATCGATTACCTTATAAAAAATACGAAAAAAGGATAATACTAACTATCATGAGCTATAAATATCTATCATGTAAATGTGATAAACATTTCTATCATGAGCTATAAATATTTATCATGTGATATACATATCTATCATTGGCTATAAATATTTATCATGTGATAAACATATCTATTATGAGCTATAAATATTTATCATGTGATATACATATCTATTATGAGCTATAAATATTCATAATGTGATATACATATCTATCATGAGCTATAAATATTTATCATGTGATATTCATATCTATTATAAGCTTTAAATATTTATCATGTGATATACATATCTATAATGAGCTATAAATATGTATCATGTGATATACATATCTATCATAAGCTATAAATATTCATGATGTGATGATATACATATCTATTATGAGCTTTAAATATTCAACATGTGATATACATATCTATTATGAGCTTTAAATATCATAACTATCATTGAGTTAAAAATAGCAATACCTGTAATAATGATTCATAAATTTATAACTATCACTCATGCAATGAATAAAAATAACAATTATAGATATAAAGAGGTATAAATAGTCACCATAAGCCATAAATATCTTATTTTTTCAAATCTTAAACATTTTTAAAGGCTTTTTGAATTTAATTTTAAACACTTTATATCCAGTTCCAATTCACACATAGTTGATTTTCATTGAATGTCGTCTTCAAAATAAACGAATTTTTAGTTTATGTTTTTATTTTAACAAGAGGTGTTTATTTCAGCCGATTATATGTGTGTAAATAGTATTAATTAAATTAAGTGAATTTCTTAATTAATAAATTTTTAAATATCTGCAGTCATTGGATGATATAATAAGCTTAAAATGACAATTTATGTTGAATAATTTGTTAAATTACATTAAAAATCCTAATTACAGCTCTTGATTAGTTTTTATGATAAAACGTTGAAAAGGAGAAGTTTGTATATTAAATATATCTATATATAAATTTGGCTTGTCTGGGTGTTTGTTTGTTTGATTGTCTGTCTGTTTGTATCCAATAAACGTCAAAACGGCTGAACCGATCGGGCCCAAATTTTTTGTGGGACATCTAGGGACCCCAGGGAAGGTTTATGAATGATCAAAATTTTAAATATTTGTCTCCATCAAAATTCGATCTTCATTAAATTTTTTAAAATTTTGAAAATCCACGAAATTTTTTGTGAAAATCCGCGAATTATTTTTGTTTTGTTTTACGATGTACACAAAGAGAACATGTTCACAATTAATTTAGAAGATGGGCGCGAAGCGCCCTCTAAGGCTAGTATATAAATATTTGCAACGCAATGTTTTAGACCTTAGTTATCTTAGACTATCTAGACATATCTATGGTTTACATAAATGGGGGGACTAGCAAGACTCTCTTTGGATGAAAACTTCAAACAGACTCATATTTGCATATTAATAAACCTGAAGATAAAACTTTTCAAATGGCTAACTTTTCCCCGTTAACAAGCTCTACACAGCTTATTAAGCTTAGATGCACTTCTCTGTAGTCCTCTACTCCTCAGTTATCCTCTAGTCCTCTGTAGTTGTCCACTGTTGTCCTCTTTTCATATGCAGTTATATTCCTCTGTAGTCCTCTACTCTTTTGTAGTCCTTTACTCCTCTGAAGTCCTTTACTTCTCTGTAGTCCTTTACTTCTCTGTAGTTCTATACTTCTCTGTAGTTCTATACTTCTCTGTAGTCCTTTACTTCTCTGTAGTTCTATACTTCTCTGTAGTTCTATACTTCTCTGTAGTCCTATACTTCTCTGTAGTTCTATACTTCTCTGTAGTCCTATACTTCTCTGTAGTCCTATACTTATCTGTAGTTCTATACTTCTCTGTAGTCCTTTACTTCCTGTAGTCCTATACTTCTCCGTAGTCCTTTACTTCTCTGTAGTCCTATACTTCTCTGTAGTCCTATACTTCTCTGTAGTCCTTTACTTAGTCCTCTACTTCTCTGTAGTTCTCTACTTCTCTGTAGTCCTTTACTACTCTGTAGCCCTTTACACCTCTGTAGTCCTCTACTTCTTTGTAATCCTCTAATCCTCGATAGTACTCAACTTCTCTTTAGTCCTCTACTTCTCAGTAGACCTGTAGACCTCTACTTCTCTGTAGTCCTCTACTACTCGGAAGTCCTCTAGTTATTAGTAGTTCTCATTTCCTCTGTAGTCCTCTACTCCTCTGAAGTCCTCTAGTCATCAGTAGTTCTCTATTCCTATATAGTCCTATAGTCCTCTGTACTCCTCTATACTTCTGCAGTCCTCTGTAATTATCTGTTGTCCTCTGTAGTCCTCAAAATTTTAGTCCTTTAAAAATTGAAACAATACAAATTTCTGAAAGTTTTTTTTGTTTCCAACATATTGGAAATATTCTGAGGCAACACTCTAATCCTTATCGTTCAAACACGTTTTCTGGGATCCTTTGAGTTACGACAAAATTTCAAGAACGGTTCAGTTGTTTTGACTTTTTTTAAATAAAAAAAACACATTAAATTTTATTTATAAAGATGACTGCGACTGGCACTCACATTCTTGTTTTGAAGTATTTAACCTTTTAATAAATAACAAGGTCGATCAATATGTCTGGATATAACTGGTTTATAAGCCTTATTCCTTGGAAATAACTCTTTTAGGTTGTCCAAAAAAAAACATGTTTAGCTCATATTACACATTTACAGATGTTTGAAAAAAAGAGAACATTTGTATCAGCCCTTAAAAAAATAGATTGCCCGAATCAATTGTCGACATTTAGGTTTTTTTTTAAATCTGCCAATTTAAACAGAAAATTTGCAAAAATTTGTTCATTGGAGAAAGATCTTAAAATGATAACAGGGTTTTGGTTGCAGGTTATATATTATCATACTTAAAATATCCATGTACAATATTACATCAATATATCACATTAAATCAAACAGATACAGTCATTACTTTTGCTCTTTTAATTCCGCAAAGAATTTTTTCATTCCATCTTTATATTTTTTAAATACTTTATCTGATCAAAAGTGACAGATTTATCCTTAACTGTTTACCTTTAAAAAGGGAGTGTTCGCGAAAAATGAAAGGGGGTATAGGCTTACGGCGAAAAATAATCGCTTTTGATCTCTACTAATCTTACCTCTATCTGTTGCGTCTATAAGGAGAAAATTGCTAAAAACGATTATACTGAAGAACGTAGCGTCCATAAAAATTCAGAAAGTTGCATTATACGACTCGTATCGTAAAATACTCAATTTAATTTCAAACAAATCTTTCAGATATTTCAACCTAAAGTCTTCCATTATTTTTCGACGCATTCGAATATTTTTGGTTGTAATATCTGAATGATTTTTTTGAAATTAAATTAACTATTTTACGATATGAGGTAAGATTAGTTGCGATCAAAAGCGATTATTTCTAGCCGTAAGCTTTTACCCCCTTTAATTTTTCGCAAACACTCTATTTAATACAATTGTACAATACTTTGGATGGCCATTTTTTTTACAATTTATTTTTTTTTGAATAGATGATATTTATACATTTTTAAAAACAAGACCAAAATTAATGTTCTTTTTAGGCAAATACATTTTTGTTTTGCTAAAAAAAGGAAGCAAAAAAAACGTTGGATAAAAACAAAGTTTGTATCCGTACTAAAAATTAAATACTGTTTTTCGGAAAACAAGTTTTTCTATTCTTTATTTAGCAATCTCAGTTTTACAGTGTTTTTAGATCTGGGATTTTGATATTAAAATTTCAAGCGCATAAAATGTCGTCTTGAAATTTATTTTTAAGTTTTTGACATCTGTTATGCTTTAATATTGTTCTTCACCAGGGGGGAGGGGGTGATAGTTCTCTACCTGTGTGCTCAGTTAGCTGTACTGTACACTTGCAACTGTTCATTAATATTGATATTCTATAGCTGTTAGGCCTGAATCAACTTATAATAAACAAATATGCAGTACGCTCTCGCTATAGTTTATAGCCTATAAAATTAGTAAATGATTAGCGTACATCAAGGATGTAAGGCAAGGAAAGTCATTTCAGAAGTGTACACATCTTTATTACTGCAGTGTACTCTCTCTGGGCGCTAATGTAAACACAAGACGGATGTCGAAGCCTGACATGGGATCCATCATTCACATGAAAAATCAGTGAAATATTCTGGTCATAGGAAACTATTATGGGAATTATCTAAATTATCAAAATTTAATGCTTTTACCTCTTTGGATACTAAACGAACACTGATGCATCTATTATTGTATACAAATTCCGCCCAGAGAGAACTGGTTTCAATATGTACACAGAGTATACACAACCGCAATTGACTTTCCTTGCCTTACATTCTTGGCGTACATCATCACTCTATACACTATAACCTCGTTGTTCTGCACATATGTTCGTAGACCCCCAGATTTTCATTGAAGACCCTAGATTTTCGTTGGAAACCCCCCATTTGGTGGTAATCAACAAATATAGGGGTCTTCAATGATAATCTGGAGAATTCCTATGAAAATATGAGGGTCTTCAACAAGAATCTGGAGGTCTCCAGTGGAAATATGGGGGTCTCCAATGAAAATGTGAGGGTCTCCAACAAGAATCTTGAGGTCTCCAATGAAAATATGAGGGTCTCCAACGAGACGTTAATGGGAGTCTCCTTGTTAAGAGTGATAATTTTTTGATAATTCTTAAGAAACTTAATTTGCTCTTAAATAGGTAGAAAATATGACACCATAAAAAAAATTTTGCTATGTATTCATAGATTATAAAGATTATACAAAAAACGGTACAGTAGCTCATCAGGTATGAAATACTTGTAAATAAAATAATACAGAATTTGTTTTCAAAGAATTGCCCTATAACAGACAGTGACGTAAAAAACATATTCTGAACTTCGATAATCGACGCTTTTTGAAGGGTAAAATTATGAATATTCAAAAAAATTGCATGTACAAACATTTTTGAAATTCATAACGGAAAATAACAACATTTCTTTTTAAGAGAGGCCTTTCTCGTGCTTATGGACCTCGTGCATTAAACTTATTTTTCTGCCTTAAACAAATTTTTCTATCGGAGGTTTGTTGATCCTCAGTTTTTGTTCATCCATCGTCCTCCCCTCCTCCTCCATATCAAAGTGGCCCCAACCAAACCCAACCAAGTCTAAAAATAAATTATCTATTTAAAGCCAAAGGTCGTCTTTGATCTGGTATCTCCAAAATGTTTTCTGTATTTTCAAAATTTACAAGAAGATTTATGAAGATTTATTTCAATAAAGTAAAAAAAACTATTTTTGTATGTTTCAATGTATAACTTTTTGTCAATAAAGCTTTACATGTTAATCGTACTCGCACATACCTTTTAAAATTAAATTTCAAAAACAATCTTTAAATTGTCTTTTATTCAACTGTCAAGCTTAAATGAAATTCTATGTACATATTTTTGATAAATTGGTAACAAGAAAGCAATGTAATAATTGGGGTCTGTTTTTCTATATAAAACATGGCTGAGGTTTCTTGTAAACAAAAACACAAATATTTAAATCTATTACTAAAATTATGGAGAGACATAAATGTTTATCCTGTGGGGTTTACAAAGTTAAAGTATATGTAATGTTTATTTTTCTATTAGAACGACGATGAATGTTCTATTCTATAAGCTTTGCGCACAAACTTTGAAAGGTACTCCTAAACGTCTCAGTCTTATATATTTTTTTTCAAAGCTCACCCGGTTGTCTTTTTCCAACGGACTTTATACATCAAACTTTTTATTCTATGTAATCCTCCTTTTCCCGGAGATTGTTTAGCTCCATTGTAACAGCACGGGAATGATTAAATACCAACAATACCACAAGTTTTGCGAGAAAAAATTGCAAATTTTTTGCAAACAACCTGTCAAAGGAAATTTGCACATTTTTAGTTTTTCTTGATTAAAAATCAGGTTATTTAAAATTTTTGCAAACATTTTTACTATAAAACTGGATTTTGCGATAAAAAATTCAATTTGCGCAAATTTGCAATTTTTTTTGCAGATTCTAAAAGTAGAGCACAAGAGCTTTCTAATGATGTATCATTTGTCATATTTGGATATAAAACAGCATATCCTGGTTTTCAAGTACCCAGCAGGGATAGGGTTAATTGTCCAAATTATTATATTCTAAACAATTTACTTGGTTCTATCCAATGTTTAACATCGTGGAGATTTTGTATATTGAGTAAACTTTTATCCATCACCCTGGCAGTTTGCTGATACAACCTAGATATATATGTATACTTTTATCCATCACCCTGGCAGTTTGCTGATACAACCTAGATATATATATACTTTTATCCATCACCCTGGCAGTTTGCTGATACAACCTAGATATATATATACTTTTATCCATCACCCTGGCAGTTTGCTGATACAACCTAGATATATATATACTTTTATCCATCACCCTGGCAGTTTGCTAATACAACCTTGATATATATATATACTTTTAACCATCACCCTGGCAGTTTGCTAATACAACCTAGAGAAATAAACTTTAATCTGCAACTTCATTACAGTTAAAACCAGAAAACAATGGAATAGAAAGACGACATTATAGCAACACTTTAGTTTATTTGATGTTTGAAGTAATTAGGTTTACTAGACACTTCTGAAATTTCTAATTTAGTATAAATGTTAAATGGGTTTGTTTACAGCTTGTCTGTCTGTTTGTTTGTATCCAATAAACGTCAAAACGGCTGAACCGATCAGGCCCAAATTTTTTGGGATACCTCACGTGGCTCTAGGGAAGGTTTATAAATAAACAAAATTAAAAAAATTTGCCTCCATCAAAATTCGATTTTCAATGTCTCATTCGCCCTGGACTTATCCAAGTTATTACTTTATTTTAAAAGTCATCTTTCTACTCCAGAGTTTTCTGTTAATTACTGTAACATTATCTTAAGTTTATATTGAATTGACTTCTTTATTTGAATATACAAACCAAGGTTTGATTCAGTTTTGAATTGAAATAAAAAAATAAAAAATAATTTGCGTATTTACCAAATAAATTTTTTTTTTCAGGGACAAATATCTTAACTTTTTCTGAGATCTCATAATTACCTGACAGCGACTTCTAGAAGCGTAATTAGAAGAAATATTGCAGACCCTCCGAGCACCGGTCCAACCACAATTAGAGGAGCTATTCCACCATAATCTTTTCTGGAATAAATATATGAATTTATTCCACTATATTCTTTTCTGGAATAAATATATGAGTTTATTCCACAATAAACTTGTCTGGAATAGATATATGAATTTATTCCACAATAAACTTTTCTGGGATAAATATAAGAATTTATTCCACCGTAATCTTTTCTGGAATAATTATAAGAATGTATGACACCATAATCTCTTCTGGAATACTTATAAGAATTATTCCGTCATAATCTGGAATATCAAAATTATGGATTTAAAAAGAATTGGTTTAGCTATAGGCCTCAGTTCAATAGCTTATGATGATGTTTAATTTCAGTTTTCAACTTTTCAATGTAAATTATTGAAATATTTTAGAGTCCGTCAAAAATTTAAATGTAACAAGGTTACCTACAAAGATTAATACAGTAATGACTAATGTCGACCAAAACTAAGAATGCTTTTCAATCAGATTCCAAGGAAATGAGATCTTGGCACAAAAATAACCTTTCTAATCTCTGCACCGTGATGGTGTAGACCTTTGATATTTCAAACTTGGACTATTTATCTACTGTGGTCTGTGTTTATAGCAACATGACGGAGATGCATTTTCTATTGGTGTTTCGAATTCTAACAAGTGTTTTAAAATTACAAGCTTATAACAAGTAAACAAAAAGAAGCATCTTCTCTTTGTTTCCATATGCGTATGTGTATCTTTGCTTTTTGAAAACTTGGTAGAAATCTAATATTGAAATCAAAAGTCGTCTTCACTGCACTGATATATACGATGACGACTGTAACAGAATTCATAGTTTGAAATATCAGTTTGCAAAACAAAAAGGGATTCGAAAATCAGAGTTTGAGACAAAGACTCAATTTTTAACGAATACTTTTTAAGACCAAAATAAGCAGATCACACTTTTAAATCATTCAAGTACAATTATGCTTTTTTAATGAACTTTTTTCTTTTTGATAAATAAACAAATCTAAAAATATAGAAAAAGTATTTTTCAAATGAAGCTGCTTCACAAACAATGTTTATCTTGAAAAAAAAACATGATAATTAACAGGAATGCATCGACATCCAACTATGTAATTACTTGTAAATAATTATAGAATCATGTAGCTATGTAATCACATGTAAATAATTACAGAATCCTGTAGCTATGTAATTACATATATGTAAATAATTAGAGAATCCTGTAGCTTTGTAATTACATGTAAATAATTACAGAATCCTGTATGAATGTATGTAGGAGTCCCCCCACAAAAATAAAAATAAAATGAAGAATATAATACAGCCTTCATTTGTAAGTCTATCAATCTCTGGCTGCATAAACGTAAATTTGACACATGCGAATTGGTAACCGCCAAAACGCTCCTGGAAAAACGTTTCCGGAACAAAGTCATACTATTTCGCACTGAAAAAGTCCTGTGGAAAAAGTCCTTTCATTAAAAAGTTTTGTTTTTTAAGAAAAAAGTCCCAGGAATCCAAAACATAGCACTTTATTTCTAGTGACATTTTTTCCAAGGACTTTAGAAAATTCGGACTTTTTTCCCAATGTTTTTATTTCCAGGTTTTTTTTCCAGACACTTTTTTCCCGTGACGTACTTTCTTAGATAGATTTATGTGAGTTATCGCAACAAATCTGGGTCTGATCAGTTTACCCGTTTTGACATTTACTAGACACAAACAGACAGATAACTGACAAGCAGCCAAGTCAAATATATATGTAAAAAACGAAAACAAAAAATAAATATCCTTCGTCAGTTTTAAGGTAACAATTGGGCATATTCAGGGTTACCCACAAAGAATGAGACTTTACAGTGAAACCCTTAATAACGAATACATCGGAAGAATTTATCAAATGTCGTCTTGACAATTTTTCAATGAGTTTTATACTAGTTTACGTAAATTTCAGTATTTGCGAAAATAAATAAATAGCCATGAATGCGGGAACAGTTTTAAAGAGTTCCATATAATCATTTAATTAAAAAACTAAATATCTGCAACATTCCATTATCAGAAAGTGAAGAATACGACGTTTGTTGAATTATTTCGATGTATTTGTTATTAAGGGTTTCACTGTAGACGACTGTACGGAATTTATACTGTCAGTTTCCTTACATATATTATTCATAATTTCCATTAACTTCAAATCATTAAATAAGCCATAAAATGACCATAGTCAAGGCAGACGACTTTATTCAACCTTGGAATCGTCATATTTTAAGAATTGCAGGTCGTCGGTAAAGTCTTATTTTTTGTGGATAATCCCGTATGTGTATTAAATACAAAAATATTAATTAATATTCAAATGATGTAAATACCTGTACAAGTACCAAAATACAATGGAAGATATACAAGCCGCTAATAGAAGTACAACTGTACAGGAAATGCAGTAAACAAGATGTCTAAAACAAACTTTAATTTCAACTCTAAAACTAAAAACCTTAGGTGGAAAGTTAAAGTTAGATCGTACTACTTTGGTAAAAGAGAAATAAAGTTTCAATTCTAATAATCAGACACTACAAGCTTGCTCAGCTTACAATATATTCTAACTTTTTTAAACCCATGCATTTTTTCTTTGTGACCTTCCATACATTTCAACCTTCCTTATCATTCATAAGTTTATAACTATTTCAAACCGTAAAGAAATCTCGTTTAATCTTTACCATCGAGATATTAGTAATAGAGGGGGCATCTGGAATTTTAGACTTCTTGTTGTACAGCCACTGTACACAATGACCCGATCAGAAATTCTACCTGGGGGATCATAATTCGTAGATAAGTGTTTTAAGACATTTTTGTTTGAATCTGAAGCCTACAATATTGAAGCAAAGAAAACAAGCACATATGATTTTTGTATAAAAATGAAGCATGACAAATAGAGAAAAAAATAAAATCCTTCTCCTTAATAACATCTTGCTTCTTATCAAATTCTTTACTTATGAAATCTACATTGTGCATTAACTGTTAGTAATATAGGTTTCTGACTTTTAGAATGAAAAAGCAATTTTAGACTAATAATAGATCTAAATTAGGCTAGACTTAATTTTAAAGTTATTGAAGAACTGAAAACTGTTAAAATATTTATTTTGCATAAATAAACTTAACGTGATACAAGTGATTTTTAAGTATAAATAATCTTTTGGTTTTGTAGGAGCACCAGTTTTGAAAGCTTTTGACGCAATCCATTTTTTTACATTTTGGTTCCCTGCATATAAAAATTGGGTGTTTTGTCTTCCAGATAACTTGTTCTATCCACTTTTTTCGTATGTTATGAAAAATTTCTGAACCCGAAACATCGTTGTTTACAAAATTATTGACACTACAATATCTCATTGTTGAAAAATATTAAAATTAACTGTTCACACAATACCGTACAAATAGATGTACTTTGGATTAAACCCACTGTACTCTATGATACCAACTCAGTCATAAGGAAACATTTTTCGACAAAATTCACTGTACAGTATAAACCTAGCCAGGCAAAATTAGAAGAGTTATGCCCGCCCCCTGATCTTTACTCTAAATATATAAAGTAGTAGTCTTCAGGTATTCCAGGTGTACCAGATTGTTCTATACTTAGGTAAGCAGAGATTGAATATTTAATTTATTATTCAATCAAAAAAACAATTAAGCATTCTCATACACAATGTTTCATGGACCAATTGCCATGGACCAATCTTCAGTGAGGTCTGTTCTCGACTCTCGAGAACATTATGTATGAGGATGTTTATCTGTTTTTCTGATTAAATAATGAATTAGATAAATAAAGTCGTAGTCTCTGTTTTTCTGTCTGTTTATTGTATGTCCGATCACTTGATAAAAATTCCCTCAAATTTTGTTTTGACAACTCTGTAGAACGACGAGAATGTTGATATTAGTTAAGGTTTACATATTCTAAGTTCATCATAGGTAGACATTTAAAGAGAAGTTACCAGTCAAAGCCAGGTTCCCAATCTCTGCTTTTCCTTAGTAAAACTCTATACCTATCTGATCTCCGTCGGTTTAATGCGTTTAAAGTTCTTCTATCTTGACGTCTCATGGGAGCCTCTTCTATCCTATAATACATGTCATCAGATAATGTATACAGTGTACTGTTCCGTTAAATTCACAAAGTAAACAATTGAAAGTTCTAGAAAATAAAGTTTCAAAATAATAAGACTTTCTTTTTCAGGGCCAAATATTAATTACTGCATTTCCGAAATAAAAAATACCGTTATACATTACATATGTTTCAGCTAAATAAAAACTCAATTTAGCTTTCCCGTTTTTTACTTATGGTTATATGTTTGCACATTGCACAATGCACAAAAAAATTATACAAGAATATTTGATGATTTATATCTAAAAATGTGGCTATGGAAAAAAAAAAAAAACGCATCCTGCATTTTATTTTTATTTTGTTGAATATTGATAAACACTATCTGTTTAAACTTCCCCCTTCCAATGTACTGTATTTAAGAAATTATAAAACACATGACATCGGTCACAATTATTACTAGAAAGCTCAATTGAATTTCAGAATTTAATATCCACTGGGAATTTTGCAGAAAGTATTTCTAATTTAATTTAATGTCAATATTTGCTGGATTAGTCCTTTTTAGAAAAAATGTCGTATTTAAATTAATTTTTATTATTTTTTTAGAGGTACAATTAATATGTTTTGTCTTAGCACTTTATTTAAAAAAAAATGAATAATTGAAATTTCAGATAAGAGATTGAATGAAGGGGACTTTCATTCCGTTTTTATTATGGTTAATTATTGTTTAAAAATACATTGAGATTCATAAAAGTGAGGATTAGGACAGTCAAGCAATATCATTGTTATTACGCAAATAGTTTTAACATTGGTTTGAAATTTAATCATACGAAATGAAATTGGTTTGTGAAAACTGCATAATTGCTGTGTTACATGTTTATTGCAGAAATTATAACTTGAGTCGGAAAGTCTTCTTCCTTTTCCAGAGTTTTCGCGTTCTGTTCTGTACTGTACTGTACTGTACTGTACTGTACTGTACTGTACTGTACTGTACTGTACTGTACTGTACTGTACTGTTCTGTACTGTACTGCACAGTACTGACTGTACTGTACTGTACTGTACTGTACTGTACTGTTCTGTACTGTACTGCACAGTACTGTACTGTACTGTACTGTACTGTACTGTTCTGTACTGTTCTGTACTGTACCTAGTTGGAATAAAAACAATAGGATCAACTTTTTTCTTCTTTCTTTTAATTATTTTCTTCTTTTGCTGGTGGAATCTTCCTCTCTGATATTCCTTAATAAGATAATAATTTCATATAAAAATCTGATAAATATAAAACTATTTTATACATGCAATTTTGGACGTACAGCAAATTCAGAGGTAAAGGGGTAAAGCTTCGAATCGTTTTCTGCTAAATCACTGATATACATGTATTAATTAGGCCTATCAAATACGTATGTAACATTGATTTTAAATCTTAGAATTTTATATTTACTGTGTTTAATTAATGTATGTAACATGTCTTAAACAAAACTAAAATAATTTTAAAAAATTCTAAAAATTGTAAGTTTTCTTTTTTGGTGTTGTGTTTTTTACCTTGGATGAAGCAAGGCGTCTAAGCATAGGAACATCTTTCCGTTCATGAGGTGGCTAGAAGATAATCATGTTAGGTATCTACTAAGTATGATTTACCCCATTTTGTAAGAAAGAATACAAATGGTGAGATAAAAACACTAGGTGGTCGCTGAGATTTATTGTATAAAAATAAGCATTCCTTTAAAAAAAGCTGGTTTTTTGGTCTGCAACAAAAATTCGTTCATCCCGCCCCTTTTAAAAATAATAAGAAATAATAAAAATGATTTGTTATATTTTACAAAGGAATGTCATTTACTCTCAGAAAAATTAGAATCAATGGAAATTCAAACCCCAGAGGGATTCAATGATAAACCCAAGGGCGCAGCCTTAGGGTTTATCATTGAATCTAATTTGTCCATTAATTCTAATTTGTCTGAGAGTAAATGATACAATGGGCGAAATTTTTGTTAAATGATTTTTCTGTTCATAATATTTCTACTGACGTCTCATCTGACTAAAATACAATTGGAAGGGGGGGGGGGGAGGGGGGTCGATGGTATTTTATACGTGTTTGGAAAGCCCTTGCAGCTATACTTAATAGTAAAGAATTTTGGTGTATTAAAGAAAAAAAAATTATTTCATTCATATTTGATCAGACAAATGTAAATTTTCAATGTTGTATGTCCCATTTTTGGTCCATGAATAATTAACATGAACATAAAATAATAAAAATGGCATTTATTAACCTGATTATGTACAATTTGATTATACAGTTCAATATCCCTGTTCATATTTTCTTTCCGGGCCCTCTCCTGCATAGCGTAATTCTGGATCATGTTCGCCATTTTGAAATCTGAAATAAAAATGTTCACATCAATAAAAATACAATACATTTTCAATATTTTATTGTGATTTTTAGTAAACTTCAACCAATGAGTGTCACAAATGTTACAGAATTATTCTCGCCATAAACCTAAAGCGTCTTTCACAAAAAAGGTAAAAGAACTTTTAAAAAGAATATATTCAAAAGGAAAAGAAAAAAAGAAAATCTCTCTTGTTTTGTTTTATTTTGTTAATTTGACGTTAAAAAATGGTAGATTGGTTGGAAGGTTGCTTAGAAATCCACGAATTTTATTAATTCAAATCAACGAAATGCATGAGAAAATAACAAAAAAGAAACAAAAATGTCTTCACTAAATCGATCTCATTAAATAGCTCTCATTAAATCGATCTCATTAAATCGATCTCATTAAATAGCTCTCATTAAATCGCTCTCATTAAATCGCTCTCATTAAACCGTGATAATAGTTAAAACTTCTATTTCATAATTTTATTTAATTTACTGACAGTTACACAATGGTGTGGGTATTCCCATTATAAATCCAATTAACATTGAACACTAAACAGAAAAAGAATAATTAACACAATATTAAATCAGAGAGAACTAGAGAACTAGAGTACTATAGAACTAGAGACAAAAGAACTAGAGAACCAGAGAACTAGAGAATTAGAGAACTAAAGAACTAAAGAACTAAAGAACTAGAACACTAGAGAATTAGAGAACTAGAGAACTAGAGAACTAGAGAACTATGGAACTAGAGAACTAAAGAACTAGAGAACTAGAGAACTAGAGAACTAGAAAACTAACGAACTAGAGAACTAGAGATCTAGAGAACCAGAGAACTAGAGAACTAGAGAACCAGAGAACTAAAGAACTAGAGAACTAGAGAACTAGAGAACTAAAAAACCAGAGAACTAGAGAACTAGAGAACTAGAGAACTAGAGAACTAGAGCACTATAGAACTAGAGAACTAGAGAACTAGAGAACTAGCGAACTAGAGAACTAAAGAACCAGAGAACTAGAGAACTAGAGAACTAGAAAACTAGAGAACTAGAGAACTAGAGAACTAGAGAGCTGGAAACTAAAGAACTAGAGAACCAGAGAACTAGAGAACTAGAGAACTAGGGAACTAGAGAACTGGAGAACTAAAGAACAAGAGAACTAGAGAACTAGAGAACTAGAGAACTAGAGAACTAGAGAACTAGAGAACTAGTGAACTAGAGAACTATAGAACTAGTGAACTAGAGAACTAGATAACTAGAGATTTAGAGAACTAGCGAACTAGAGAACTAAAGAACCAAAGAACTAGAGAACTAGAAAACTAGAGAACCAGAGAACTAGAAAACTAGAGAACTAGAGAACTAGAGAAGTAGATAACTAGAGAACTAGAGAACTAGATAACTAAAGAATTATAGAACTAGAGAACTATAGAACTAGAGAACTAGAGAACTAGAGAATTAGAGAGTTAGAGAATTAGAGAACTAGAGAACTAGAGAATTAGAGAACTAGAGATCTAGAGAACTAGAGAATTAGGGTACTATAGAACTATAGAACTAGAGAACTACAGAACTAAAGAACCAGAAAACTAGAGAACTAGAGAACTAGAGAACAAGTGAACTAGAGAACTAGAGTATTAGAAAACTAGAGAACCAGAACTAGAGAACTAGAAAACAAGAGAACTAGAAAACAAGAGAACGAGAAAACGAGAGAACAAGAGAACTAGAGAACTTGAGAACTAGAGAATTTATGAATTAGAGAACTAGAGAACTAGAGAAGTAGAGAACTAGAGAACTAGAGAACTAGAGAACCAAAGAACTAGAGAACTAGATAACTAGATAACTAGAGAACTAAAGAACTAGAGAAGTAGAAAACTAGAGAACTAGAGAACGAGAGAACCAGAGATCCAGGAGAACTAGAGACAAATAGAACTTGAGAACTAGAGACAAAAGGAACTAGAATACTAGAGAACTAGAGAACCAAAAAACAATATAAGTGTATGATCTGAAAACCTGGATAACTGAAGGACTAGAGGACTAGAGAACCAGAGGCTGCCTGCAGCCTCCAAAATATAGACGAAAACTAGAATGAGGAAACTAATCAAAACTTATATTTTTATAAAGTAAACTAATGTGGGTGGAAGTTGTTATTGTTTTAATAGAAAGATAAACATTTAATTTATTAAGACACTATATGTAAGGTCCAGTCAACACCAACTCTCATCACAATTACAAAATTTACATTTCGGCGAAGTTTATTTTCAAATACGTGTAACAAATCCTGTATTTGGTTAAGTAAATTCGCAATTTTATGGGGACTTCTACAATGACAGAATTGTTATGAATTGTCAAGGTTATACAGTCCCATTTTTGATCATGAATGATTAATATGAACATGAAATAATAGAAATGGCAAATATGTGGTTCATGTAATTTCAAAATTTTACGGGGACCTCTCTACAATGGCATAGTTTTGATGCTGCTTTTTGGGACCAATAAAGTTTTTTTGTTTTTAGCAGCCTTTTATTTGATGTTGATATTGAAGTGCCGCAATTAAAGATGATGAAAACTCCAATTATGAATTATTTAAATGAAGAAATTATAAGACATGTTTGTCTGCATTGTTTTGTTGTCAGTTAAATTCAAATTCATAGCATGATGATTGTTAATTATCGTGATTGATTCAAAACATAACATTTTGAAATTCAAATCAAATTATTTTTTAATGTTTTTTTAAAGTAATAAGATTAATAAGATAATTGTTAAACACATCATTTCTCCTATCGTTTAATGTTTGGATTTTCGAAATCAAAACCAAGAGATTTAATAACTTCTGTAGTTCCATTTATTTGGTTTAAACTGAACGCATATAAATATTATAAATCTGTTTATTAAATTATGTTACATATATATATATATATATATTTATATATATAATGCTATAATGATAAATATATTCTTTCAATTATTCGTAGTTCATGCAATCTCCATTTTAGCAACAATATCTTGATAAATATAAATAGACATGTATACATACAGGGTGTCCCACGAAACATGACAGTTGGTGAACAGTTTAAAATGTCTTCTTCAATTTATAGTTAAGTTGTTTGATACTAGAGATTATAGTAAAATTGATTTCAAAGTAAAATAAGTTTGAGAAAAATATGTTTTTTTTAACGAGATAAACTGCAAAAAGTCGTTAATATCTAATTCAATATATGGAAGAAGACATTCAAAACTATTCACCAACTGTCATGTTTCGTGGAACACTCTGTATATCTTTAAATATCTGCTTGTACTCAGTCTTTTCAAGGGGTCGTTACAGTACACAAAGTGTGTGTACACAACACGAACAGCTGTCAGGGTCACAAGACATCAGTCTCATCTAAAAACATGATAAATAAAAATGTTACAAAAATTCATTTTACTTCCTTAACTAGACGTATATGTTGACTATGGGCTAAACGGGGAATTAGGTCTTTTTCTAATTTAACATTTTCAATTAACGATCAAATCGTTTAAAACAAAATTAACGAACACAGTTTGACCGATTCTTGAGAAACTGGAACGATCATAAATTAATGAACGAGGAAAGAGCAGTTTTCGAAAAAAACTATATTTTCTCGTTTGCGACTGTTACAAGTTAACGACCAAAACAAGCAAAAAAGTATAATAATATTATAACTTTTTCCTATATATTTTCAATTTTCATAAAACATTTTTAAATGTTGTTCCTAGTTAACTGATTCCACATTTAAAATTTACAACAATCAACTGTTCATAAAATAAAGACATAATAAACGATCAATTATTGTTAATGATCAACAATCGTTAACAATCGGTATAAGTCATGACTTTAAAAAACGAAATAAATAATTGTTAACAAAACATTTTTTTAAACGAACCAACGATCTACCACAAGGCCCTCGTTGGCTAACGTGGGTCTAACTATTCCAAAAACTAAGCAATTGACCAGTTTTAAGTAGAACACCTCTAAATAATAAATAATGATAAACAATAATCAAAAATCAAGATTGAAACAAACTTCAAAAATGAGTTATTATTTATTTGTCTTGTTTTCTATGGGTCTTATTAAAGAAGTGACCGTGAAGACATAGTAGTTGAGCTGAGAATGCAGTATTGTAGAGAAATGGTTTATTTCACCCCTCCATATATGAGAAATTTAAAGATTGAATTTGTGCACCGTAAAAACATCTCATAGGTCTCAAATAAATCCTAGAAATAATTTCTACAAGTCTTCATTCTCAGCTCAATTATCATGTCTAGCCACACACTCCCTTTAAAATACCTGACATGAGGCTGGACCTAGACATGCATCTGCATATTCCTGCTGACATATACACTCTCCAGCCTGATCAAACAAATGGTATACAAGCCCTTTATAAATAGGTTTACAAATCAGTCACAAGAGGTTTACAAAGCCTTTAAAAATAAGTATACAAGACCTTTAAAAATAGATATACAATACACATACCAGCCCTTAAAAAATGTAATACAAACAATTAAAAAATGGTACAGTGAAACCCTTAATAACGAATACATCGAAAGAATTATTCATCAAATGTCGTATTCTTCACTTTCTGATAATGGAATATTGCAGATATTTAGTTTTTTAATTAAATGATTATATGGAACTCTTTAAAACTGTTCCCGCATAATCATGGCTATTTATTTTTTTCGCAAATACTGAAATTTACTTAATATAGTATAAAACTCATTGAAAAATTGTCTAGACGACATTTGATAAATTCTTCTGATGTATTCGTTATTCAGGGTTTCACTGTATATAAACTCTTAAAAGAAGGTAAATAAAAAGACATTTGTATAGATATCCAAACCCTTTAAAAAAGGTATATAAGCCTTTAAACCCATACTATACGAGCACTTTAAAAAAATGGTATTTAAAGCCCTTTTAAGAAAGGTATTTAAACCATCTAAATAATGGTTTGGCTAGTTCAACCACTTTTTCTGTAAGGGCATGTTGAGGCAATACAAAGAGATATTGAGCTTATGGCTGGCTAAGGCTCAAACTAAACTATACCATGACTAATTATGTCTTTGTTAAAACCCCTGTCTTGTAGATTTAATTTTCAAGTTTTACCAAATCATAACCTCAATATTAGAGATAACAAAACTATACTGCTCGTATGCCTTTGCTAAAACCACTGTCATTTAAATTTATTTTTCAAATTAGACCAGCTTTATTGCAATCCAAAATAAGCAAACTCTAAAGCAAAAATTTAACAGGATGTTGCCAAAAACTCTTTAAAGTCTAGGCGGTCGTAAAATATGATGAATTACTTTTATAGTTGTCTAGATATCTGCGTAAATATTACCTCGATATTAGAGATATTCATCCTGTTACAGTGTTCTCTAGGGTCAGCCTTGATCTTTGATATCCAGGTACTGCACCCCAGCAGACACCCAGATAACTCAACACATAAAATCGTTAAAGGGACTGCATGTTGCCGTGATTCATGACCTTTCACACTGTGATCCAAAGGTTTCAAGCTCTTACGCAAAATCGTTAAGAATTCTGTCAATTAATTATTTAAAAAAATAACTAATAAAATGTTCAATTCGTTCTATATAATATCCAACACATAGTATGAGTGAGATAGTTTAAGGTAAAAGGCCAATGCGTTGTGACTCTTTAAATTTGATCCAGTCTCAAATATATTGATGCAACTTCCAATGCACATACCCTAAGTGTCCGTTCAACAAGTAACATGCCGTAACCCTTGAAACCTAGCTTTGTCTATAAGTCAAAATCGATGTTTGATATTTTTGATAACTTTTAAATGCAAGATCTTGCGAATTTGAGAGAATTTGATCTTTTAAGACACAAAAAAAGTCCTACACAGCTAATAGAGTGCCTTTGAGAATCTGGCATGTAAATAATTTTCTTTTAATTTTTATCCAATTTTTTTCCAAATATTTTCTTTACCCTGTGGCTGGGTTTATGAGATGGATTTGACAGTTAATTTAAAGAAGATTGCTGTATTTGATAAAAAAAAAATATTACATATGGGAGAAACATAACACAGGTATAGATCATTTCTAATTGATTCGTGTTTTAAACAATTATTAGTCAAGTTTTTAATTTAGAGGAAGCTCCATAAAAATCTACAAAACTAAATACTTAAATATTACTTTATACCTTACTACAATGAGAACTAAAAAACTCTTGAATAAGAAGAGGAGTAAATAATAACTTTAAATAATGACTTTAAATAGTCCATTGAACATAACACACAGAAAGCAGTAAGCAGACCCATTTCACTTAATACGTGATTTTAAAGTAACTGCAGAAAATCTGTTTGCTTTGTAACAACACAGATCTTTACAGTTTTGAAAACTATGCGTCAACATAATAAGACCGGACTTACTTTTAACGTCTTTGGGCCTTTACACTTGTTAGATATTATCAAAGGGATTGCAGCAGTAATTTCAAGAGAATAAAGAATGGCATTTACAAAAGTACTCGTTAACTCTTGGAACTCACTTTTCTTCTTTAAAGGGACTATAAGGGAAAGAGGAAAGGGGGCATAGGCTGAAACCTGAGATGCTCAGGAGTAGAACGATACCTATAATACATCTATCTGATGTTCCTGTCTCGATAAATTGACATAAAACTGTGCCAAAATTATACCGAAACGTAAATATGTAAGATATACGTCCGTATCACCAGAACTCCCTCCAATGGCAGTGCATTAAACTGGTCACGTGATACAGACGGAGACACATGACAATAATACTGCACTGTCATTGGTTGGAGTTCTGGTGACATGTTCCGGACGCATAAATAATAATAGGAACACAATTGAGTTTCTCAGGCTCCTCTGGGATATCGTTGTTTACAGATTGCTGCGTATTTGTAAAATTAGATCTGTTTAATACTGCGAATCTTACATATATACGTTTTGGTATAATTTTGACACAGTTTTATATCAATTTCTCGAGACAGGAACATCAGATAGAACTCTTATATGTCTCAATCAACTCCATGAGATTCTTAGGTTTCAGCCTATACCCCTTTTCATTTTTCCTTTACAGTCCCTTTAAGAAAAATAATATCAAAGTCATCTTTTCACAGACTAAGGTTAAGAGGGTACCATTGCCAATCAAACAGGTCATTCTATATACTGTGCTAGTCATTTGAAATATGTGTACAGTCCTTTATAAATATTCACCTCTATAAGTATAAGAGCCGAGTATGTAAAGGTGAGGTGCATGTTTACTTCTTCATTTTCATCTAGTCAACTAATAAGTAAATTCAATTCAGCTGACTAGGCTATTATTATTGTTTTCAAAAGAAGATCAAACAAAAATGTTTTAAAAATTCATAATATTTTTAAACTCATTTTATGTATCTATATAAATAATAAAACGGTTCAAGAAAAAAAATATTTTAAAAAACCTCCTTAAAAAAAACAAGAGAATTAAAAAAAATATATGATAGCAAATATGGTATATATACCCTCATAAAACTCGTAATAATAATCAGTAATCACAAAGGAAATAATTCTTGAAATATTTAAGGCCTATATCTTTCCAGCTGATGGTGTAAACCTTTGGAATTTCAAACTTAAATTATTTGATCTAATAGAATTTAAAATATCTAAGGTCACCGCATTGGGTTGCTCAGATATAGGGGTTAGAAAATCTGAGTTTGTGGCAAAGACTCAACTCCTTTACTTGTATAATTCGTCTGAATTTGAAATAAAAATCAAACATGAAAATAAAATAAAATATTCCCATTAAAAAACGTAAAGTGCTTTGTTTGTAAATAATTTCAGATCTAAGGATCAATCAGGTTTCATAAAAAGGAATTTAAAAACAAATCCCTGATATAATTAGTTTAGAAATATGGTAACTGTAGTCAAAGTCTGTTTTCAAAACAATGTAATGAATTCAGCTTCCAGTGGTAAAGCCAAAGATTACTTAACAATAACAGACAGAACACTAGATGTCGTCTTTTCAAGATTTAGGTGTATTTCGTTCACAATAACCCTGAGGCAGAAGCTCAAAGGAGCTACCAGTATGCTTTCTCTCTGTATGTTTTTTCAATGCAGCATGCGCGTAACTCCTTCGGGCTTCTGCCTCAGGGTTGTTGCAAACGAAAAGTCCTTTAATCTTGAAAAGACGACGTCTAGTGTTCTATCTGTTATGGTTAATACTCTATGGGTAAATCATATTCCAGCTACGGNGAAGTCAAAAAAAATATTATATTCTTTTAAATAACCTATTTCTTTCTTTAGAATTAATTTTAAGCAGACGTTAAACAATCTTTCCATAAATATTTCTATGGTGCAATAAAGTTAAATATAATTTGACTGCTAATGAATCATCGACAGTACAATAATATTGTGTGCTGTTCTGTTCTACTAGACTAATAACCTTCTAATTAAATTTACATCACGCTTATGCAACTTCAGATTTGTTAATTATTCAAAAGAAATTATTCAAATGGGGAAGAAAAGTGTTAATTCACCAGTGGAACGAATAAATAAATAATATCAAAAAGAAAAACTTCTTTTTATAAAGTTTGTTGATATGAAATAAAATATAAAACCGCATCAAAAAAAATATACATAGTAGAACATGCTTCAAATAGTTTTTAGTTTAATACGTATCAATCTACATTTAAATTTTGTGCAAATTTTTAATTTTAAAAATTGTAATTATGTAAAGTTACATATAATTATGTATACAAAATATAACATTTTATAATCCAAATGCTATCTGGAAGAGTCCTGCTACAGCTCCCTGCAAAAAATAAAATTAAAAGATATTTTTAATTAAGCAAATTCAAACTTAATGTTTTATATTATTAGTTCAAAAACATCAAGGCTTTTTGGATTTTTTTGTATGATACATAATGTAAATTGCTATATTAACGTAAACACTAATCTTTTTTGATTGATGCTTTTGACTGACAAATTCTGTGAGTGTAAATATTTTGCTTAATAATGAAAAAATAAAAGCAAAAAATCATTAAATGATATAATCATATAACTTTTTAAGATATAAAATATTGATCATTAAAAGAATGGCAATGGAATTTATATGAACTGGTTAAGTTCTTGAAAATATGAAAAAGATGAAAAGTTTAAAGGCATTAATGAAATGTACCAGGGTCAAATATTAAATAATTACTGATAAATTGTAGAACTTATCAGTCTATCTACTTCAAATAATTATTTTATAACTAATTGATTTATAACCTGAAACCCTGCATTGTAGTCCAAAGAAACCTCGTTAGAAATATAATCTGATCTGTCATCTTCATAAACATCATCAGCTTTCTAATAAAATATAATCTGATCTGTCGTCTTCATAAACATCATCAGCTTTTTAATAAAATATAATCTGTTTTGTCGTCTTTATAAACATCATCAGCTTTCTAATAAAATATAATCTGATCTGTCGTCTTCATAAACATAATCAGCCTTATAATAAAATATAATCTATTCTGTCGTCTTCATAAACATAATCAGCTTTCTAATAAAATATAATCTGTTCTGTCGTCTTCATAAACATCATCAGCTTTCTAATAAAATATAATCTGTTCTGTCGTCTTCATAAACATAATCAGCCTTATAATAAAATATAATCTATTCTGTCGTCTTCATAAACATAATCAGCTTTCTAATAAAATATAATCTGTTCTGTCGTCTTCATAAACATCATCAGCTTTCTAATAAAATATAATCTGTTCTGTCGTCTTCATAAACACCATCAGCTTTTTAATAAAATATAAACTGTTCTGTCGTCTTCATAAACACCATCAGCTTTTTAATAAAATATAAACTGTTCTGCCGTCTTCATAAACACCATCAGCTTTCTAATAAATATAATCTGTTCTGTCGTCTTCATAAACACCATCAGCTTTTTAATAAAATATAATCTTTTCTGTCGTCATCATACTGTGCATATTGTAAGTAAAAATCATGAAAAAAAGACAATCAATCAACCAATTTTAAATGTAGTATATGTTTATAATATCATTCATTCATGATCAGACAAAGGTTCAAAGATGAATTTGATTTAATTAGAAATTAGAAATTAGAAATCTTTAGTTCCTTGAAAACGTCAAAAATCAACCAAACAAAATAAATACCCATTTCTAACAAAGGACGATGTTTGTATTTACCCTAGGTCCTCCAACTAGTGCTCCAAGAAGAAGATGAGGGTTAGGACCTCCTGCACTAAATGTCTCCCAGGTGCAGGCAGTTGGTGGCGAGGGACAAGCAGACGCCTGAAATATTAGATACAGTATAACCCACAAAGAATACAACTTTAAAGGGACAAGACAAGTTAGACGACAATCGAAAATAATCAATTTTTTCAGTTAAAATTTAAAAGTTGAGAATGATCAAAAATGGCGATTTTCATAGTTTAACGCTAAAACTATTAATAGGAACTAGTGAACTAAATTACAAATAGATTTGAATATCAAATAGCTTGATTTAAATGATGTGACTAGATGTCCGTCACACATTGAATGTCAATTATATAAATATAAATTAATGTATAATGTAGATTATAAGGGTGTCCCAGGAAACATGACAGTTGGTGAATAGTTTTGAATGTCTTCTTCCATATACTATATTAGATATTAAAGACTTTTTGCAGTTAATTTAGTTTAAAAAAACTTTACTCAAATATATTTTACTTTGAAATCAAATTTACCATAATATGGATGCCATTATATATTTATAACTTGAAATATTATGGAAGAAGACATTTTAAACTATTCACCAGCTGTCATGTTTCGTGGGACAACAGCTGTAGTTGCAAAATGACGAAAATATGTGTATTGTAAAGTGTATCGTATGATTTTTAAAGAATGAACAATAGAAATTTTAAGTGCTATGTAACGTATGAGAGCTAAAAGTGCAGTATTGTAGAGAAAACTTTAGGTGTACAATATGTAAAACAGAGCGTAATTAGCTGTTTGTAACATTCCACCAGTTATTTCAGCCAGCAGAAGAAACGAATTTTTTACAATTATTTAATAACCTGGACAAAACATGTTAAAGCATATAATTTATAAACTAATTTGCTGTTTAGGAACAAATTTCCCAAAAGATTTTTTAATGAATTGTCCATAGTAGAACTATGGAATCGATAATTTCTCTAATTTTTTTTACAAAATGTCGTCACTACAATTAAAATAAAGAAAACCTCCAACAAGCGACCCTAGCTGAAAGAATTTGCATAAACCTCATAGATTTATAAATTGATTTTAATAATTTATTTCCAATAATAGATGTTCATTATTTTTCTTAACCTATTCCTATGCATGCAACTAGTGTGTAGAATAAATAGTTTCTTTTAGTATTTGTACATTATATTTCAAATTGTAAAAAAACGTTCTTCTGCGGGCTGAAACAACTGGTGAAATATTCCGCTCTTCTTTAAGAATTGTACACCGAAAAAATGTCTCATTGGTATCAAATAAATCTAAAAGTTTTTCGTTACAATATTTCATTCTCAGTTCAAATATGTTACTAAGGTGGTCTCTCCCTTAATAGAGAAAAATTCAAAACTTAAAAAAGAGAATTTACTAAACCTTGTGATGTGGTCTTGTAGGATAGTTTTCTCCAAACCCAACCACAAAACTTCTACCACCATCACCCAGGATGTATCCAATCTAGAGACAAAATAAAGCACTCTTTTCCAAAGTCATAAGTCAAAAGTGAGGCCCGATAAATTGTGGAAGGGTAAGACGACATTCTATCCATCTTATGGGTATTCAGAGTTATTAAATAACAAACGCTTTACCAGTTACCTTGATCATTCCGGAGTTATATGAAGAACTAGAGCTGAAGTACCCGGTGTTGCCCATAGAGAAATTTAAAAAAATCGAATTTAAAGAAAATTTAATTTGAAAAAGAAAATTCGAATTATTTTAATTTATATGAACCCCATGCAGGGTATTCCATGGGTTCCTTCAAAAATTTCAACTAATTTGGTCCAGCTGTTTGGCCAGCTAAAGTGTTTCTTCGTCCTATAAGGACTCATCAATATGGCTCAATTCATCAGTTTTTTATTTTGCAGTTGGCGGGGCTTGAACCGTGAATCCTTGGATTACAAATCAAACACGCTATAACCACTGCTCCGCCAAACTCTGATTATTAGTTAATAATGAAAAAGCGACCAGAGAGCTTAACCAACTGATTACAAGTTGAGGGCCTTACATAACGATGATTAGATATACCTATGCATTACCACAAAGTCCTCAAGTTGTGTTTATATATATATATATATATATATCAATTGATATTTGTTTATAGTTCATTAAAATGTAACCTGCTCTTTTGCAAAATCAAGAAAATCCTCATTTCCCAGGCCAGCTGAATACGCCTGAACAAATCGACTTTTAGCAGTACTTTGCTTTGCAGCAGACTTTTAATTCATAACTGAAATTTGAAATTTTGTTTCATTTTTGGAGGGACCGTTTGAACGTAATTGTATGTAAACCCCTTTTGTAGATACTGGCATGCACATCCTTAAATTTGCCCTTAACTTGCGAATAAATGTGGGATTTTGAATGAAATTGTCAGAATTGAACACGTTTTAAGACACCTAGGATGCCTTACTTTTGTTACTCAGATTAAGATTAAAAGGGTACCATTGTAAATTAGGCATGTCATCTTTAATATGTGGTGTCACTTAGAATTAAGTTCACTGTCCCCTTAAAAGGTACAATTTACCTGTATACAAATAAAAGCAAAGTTAGCAGCGTATCTGTTCGAGCCCCATTCATACAGATGAACTTGACTCTGAAACATTCATACAGATGAACTTGACCCTAAAACATTCATGCCGATGAACTTGACTCTGAAACATTTAATCTTAGAAAAAGAACTGACTATTTACCTCAAACTCTAATTTTCAAATCTTCAAATTTAAACAACCTGATGTAAGCACTTTTTATGACTAATACTAGTCTCATATTATGTATATCCCGATGGCTAGATAAAAAAAGTGTGTGCACTTTAAATTTGAAGATCAATGCTTAATCTCTTCATTTTTAGTTATTATCCTTCTGATGAAAGCTCCCTAAACCTCTACATTGACCGGGTACGATAACCATGTGGTATATCGAAAAAAGAATAAATTAATCTGCAGATTAGAAAAGATCAAGATCAAACATTGATCTCTATATCCACAATACTAGAGTTTGCAGGTCTGGATCATAGGTCTGGTCTATTCAAGACCATGACTTCTGCTAGATAAATGTTTAAAGTAGAAAATATCAAAAGTTTAAACAGTTGGTTTCGTTTTCATTTGAATATTTTTGCTATTAGGATACCTTTGGTGATCTAGGGAGGTTGTGGATAGCATTGTTACAAAACTTCTCAACTGCTGTACCGTACTGCATATCCTTAGTGAGAGTGTACAGCAACAACTATAAACACAAAAAAGCTACTTTATATAAGGTGTTTCTGGCTGAAACTCTTATTAAATGAATGAAATACTTTATCGACGGACGTTGTTTATATTAATACTAGCATATTTTTCATATAATAGCGTTTATTTTTATATTAATACTAGCATATTTCTCATATAATAGCGTTTATTTTTATATTAATACTAGCATATTTTTCATATAATAGCGTTTATTTTTATATTAATACTAGCATATTTCTCATATAATAGCGTTTATTTTTATATTAATACTAGCATATTTCTCATATAATAGCGTTTATTTTTATATTAATACTAGCATATTTCTCATATATTAGCGTTTATTTTTAACATATTTTCTTCTGTTCATTGGTTTGCCATAAAATAAAATAAAATACAGGGTGTCCCACGAAACATGACGATTGAGCGACAATTTGAATATCTTCTTTGACCTTTAGAAATAATTTGCTGCATTCATTTGTCAATCTAATTTCTAGTGACATTCTAGTGTTAACAATTACAAAATTACAATACATCGAATTTAAAAATGGGGCAAGACAATTATAAGAATGAAAGAAAAAGAATATCACCTGGGCTCCAACCTGTTTATCTGCCCAGCTAAACTCACTACAATTCGAATTAAGGGGGAATTCCTAAACATATTTCAAATTGGGGAAAAAACTGTTTAAATTTTATTTTTTAAGTAATTAAAAACCAATTTTTATACGTTAAAAATTAGGACGATTTTTTAAAAAACCAATAAGTTTTTAATTTCTTTTAGAATTTATTTTGAAGGAGAACAAGATTTAAACTGGCAACTTTGTATTTGCCCCCAATTTGATGATTTAAAAACTCCAAAACTATAATTTTTCTCTTCAAGCCAACATTCCTGAAATAACTCTTTATAGAAATGATCTTAGAAAAGGGGGGGGGGGCTGTTTTTCAACGATATATGCACCCTTTGAATTGTAATCTAAAGGAAATATAAATAATTTTCCACCTGAATAAGTTTGTTTACAGTGTCTAGGTACAAAGTGTTATTCGTTGCTTTGAATAACCAGGCTGAAGCCCACTGTAATTCATCAGAATATGATTCAGATCTAAAACCAAATTAAATTATATATTTTTCAACACTAGAAACTAGCATAATAAATGTATAAAATTCTGCATAGATAGCTTAAATGTTTTTTTTCACAAAGCCCAACCCTGATATCCTTGAAATTTTTACATTTATTTTTAAATATATGTTTGAAAAAATGAATGAAATAATTTTCTTTCTTCTTGATTCTTCATGTGCAGAATAGCATGCCTGATTTAAAATGGTCTAGTATCCTTTAAACCTCTTTCAGTAAACTGCATTAATCACTTTTTGAGAAATAAACTGAAATAAAATAAAATGTCAGCTATAAAACTAATTGGATATCTTAATAATCCTTGATCGACAAAATCTCAAATATTCTCCGCTCAAACACCATATATAGTAAATAGGGCAATGCCACTCTTTCAAATGGAGGTCTTATTGAAGTTACGTATTCAATCCAAGAATAGGTTTGGGCAGTATTTGAAACTTTTCAAAACTGGATTTTCTACGAGTTTGCTAGTATACACTTTTCAAAATTGAATTTTCTACGAGTTTGCTAGTATACACTTTTCAAAATTGTATTTTCTACGAGTTTGCTAGTATACACTTTTCAAAATTGTATTTTCTACGAGTTTGCTAGTATACACTTTCAAAAATTGTATTTTCTACGAGTTTGCTAGTATACACTTTTCAAAATTGGATTTTCTACGAGTTTGCTAACATACACTTTTCAAAATTATATTTTCTACGAGTTTACTAGTATACACTTTTCAAAATTGGATTTTCTACGAGTTTGCTAGTGTACACTTTTCAAAATTGGATTTTCTACGAGTTTGCTAGTATACTTTTTTCAAAATTGGATTTTCTACGAGTTTGCTAGTATACACTTTTCAAAATTGGATTTTATACATAAATGTTAAAACATGTTTCATAATGGATGAACCATTGAGCAAATAATTAATTTGTTTTTAATGGCTAGACATGTTGGTGATAAGATTATGATGATGATGACCATCTTAGATTCTTGGAATGCGCTTCTATATTTAGCCACTGAATTGTACTTTGAATTTGCACAGGAGCTCTAGACTAGATATATATCCCATCCCATTAAAAAACTATAAAATATAGTCAATCATGGGACGGGACTAATCCCAGTACATTATTAGGATAAGGTGGGCTTTTGTGAATTTACCAGATCATTCCCAATTCCCGAGTTTGTGATGCTTATTGTACCTGAGTTAAGCAACAACTAGTTCACCTTTAAATAATATTAATTTGTATACCCTATAATTAATCAAGTTCAAAAATAAGATATTTTTCTCTGTGTACACGCTCAGATCATGTTTGTTTAGGTTGCCCAGTGATAACTTTGTTACCAAGGATAGATTGTCTGCAGTGGAGTGTGCTTGTGTAACATCCACATATTTTCTCAAGAGCCTTGATAGCTATAAGACTTCAATATTTAACCACTAGAGATATTAAGTCTTAAGACAAATATGAGATATTTACTTTCCAAGAAAAGATTGGTTGGTAACACAAGTATTAGAGAAGAGTAAAATCATGCATATATGGTAATTTACTAGGAAGGAACTGGACTATTTGGGTTCCCTCGGAAGAACCAAAGATTGAGATTTGATTGTACTATAAGGCAGAAAATTATGTATTTACCAAAATGTTACCCGTTAAAATTACTATTTGACTCATTTTTTGTGAAAGTAGACAACAAGAAGGTGAGTATTATGTTTCAAATGTTGTTGTAAAATATGAAATAAAAATTCAAGACTGCAGACAGTGCCATAATTGGACAAACATTAAGATTTTATAAAAACTATTAACCTTCTTTTGAAAAAAAAAACAATTCTTTCTAAAATATGTATTCGAAATTTGTTTTCTCTTAATTTCTAACACAATATCTCATTTCTATAGACTGTGAAGCAAAAGTTAAATTTTGAATGTTGTTGTAAGTCTATGGTATCCCTTAGAAAAGGGAATCTAAATTTAAAACTAATCTAAAGGGTAACTAAACTCCCAGAGAAAAATTACTTATTACATAAGCAAGAATTTAGAAAACATTTATTGATCAACAAAAACTAATACACTTTTCTGAATAGTTATATTTCCTTCAAACAATTCATCAATAAATATTTTCAACTTTACCCTATTCCTGCGGGGGGGGGGGTCCATTTGACCACCCTCTGTGATTTTTTTTACATAACTTAACCCTATCCCTGCTGGGGTACTTGAAAACCAGGATACGCTGGGGGGGGGTCAATTTGACCCCCCCCTCTAAATCCCATGTTTGATGTTCAAATATGACAAATGATACATCATTGGAAAGTTCTTGTGCTCTACTTTTA